GCTACCCTCGCGCTCCGGAATGCGGGACCTAAACGCGGTGATATGCTTCGACCCGTTACCACCCAGGATGACGCCGACCCAGGCTCCTCGCTTTCCTCTACCTCCGTCGTAAATCTTGTGATCCAGTCCTGTGATGCTGAATACGTTGCATCGCTCATCCAGCGCCTGAGGCTTCCGTCGCTTGTTCTCGTTGCCCTTGCGGTCACAGGTGACAGCTGCACCAGCATTCTCAGAGCGCTCAAAGAGCCTACCCGGCCTTTGCTCGCCGGAGTGCAGGTACTGAAACTGTGCGCCGTGGAATGTGCCGACTTCAGTCTCTGGAAATTAGCCCTTGGGACTGCGGATCAGTTGTTCTGGTTGGACGTTGACGTGCGCCGTTGTGGGGGTGCTCAGGGGTGGTGCGGTATGCTGTGCGCCAACACCACGGACGCGCAGAATGGCCGTCTTCCAGAATTCCTGCCCGCCCTTGAGCATCTCTCCGCTGCGGGGCTCAGCGGGAAGCAGCTTCACCGCATTGTGAAAATGCGGATGGACGTCGGCCGACCTATAGCGCAGCTGTTCATGGGCCCGCACGACAAGGTGAACGCGCGAAACCGACGATGGCTACAGGAGCATGTGCCTGATTTCATGTCTCCCGAGGAGCGACGGAAAGACGATGATGCGAGAGTGGGTGGGTCTAATGATTCAGATTACGGGAACGTCGGCAATGGGGAAGGTGGGTTCGGTCTGGGGCATGAAGAACTGAATGTCATTATCCTCATGGGGCACATCTTTTCACGTCGAAAGGCTGCCGCTCGATGATCCGTCGATCTCTCGACGTAAGGTAAGATGAGAACTTGCGCGCATTGTTATTGTATGTTGTATCATGTACATCCGGGTTACCTGAGACAGCCGTAGACTTTTACTGCTCACGATCGACAACGCCGGTTGTTCAGCCGTCCAGATTATGCTGGATATCTTGGCCATAGGCCTCTACCGTACTACCTGCTTCGGAGTTGGAGATACCATGGCCCCTTATCGATTTTTGGCAGCCGTAATCATAAATCATACATTCAGTATTATGGAAAATGCTATCGTACAACAACGTCAACTTGAGAGTAAAATTTAGAAATCCGCGCTTTCCTGGTCTCAGCACACTGGTAGATCGTGATTATTGTGTGTATCCGTCGTGATCATAACACTGTGTTGTGGCTGTTGTGGCCATCTCGGCTACAAACTGGACCTGCAGAGCGTGTGTGTTTGTATGAGGTTCTGCTCCTCCGCTTTGGTTGATACTAAGCAGGACATTGTCCCCTATATAATCAATTGGGCCGTGGGACTTGAGATGATTGCGTATATTGAGTCTTGAATCCGGATCCGTCGTCATCAGGTGAGTTCCAAGGTTAGTGACGAAGGGCTCACAAAGCAAGAAGAGAATTGACATATACTATAAAGATCGACAGACGTATCGTAGAACAATGCATAGGGACTTACACTTGCTGCCCAAGAAGTAAAACACAAGCCAGATCAAATTTAACGGTTTTGCATGTAAAGTGCCAAGGAACTATGCCACCGTCAGCAAGACAATCAACAGGTGGTTGTCGAATCACTTACCGTAGCAAACAGGAGGACCTGTATAAGACTTGATATAGGTTAACCTCATGGTAACGCCACTCTGACTTGACGGACATACGCAACAACTACTCCTCGGTGTATGATGTAGAGAACAAGCCGCGTTATAATATGGTTTGTGCTGTACTCCCCGTCAGTTGCGCCCGTATTCTTTGGGTACGGAAGGGAAACCTGTACATACCCGTGGAACCCGGTCCTTTTCCCATGTAAAATGAAGGAAAATGAGATTGCGATGTAGACGTCCGCCACTGCAGCCGTCAATGTGTGTACACGCATAGGTAGCTAGATATATGCGTGTCATCATTTATCGTTGATTTGATTTAAACCGAACAAACCGCAATGCTCCCGAGGGAATCCACAATTTCCGCAGTTTGCGCTCTGCGAAAGCCTCATGAGTATTTTGAACAGAATGAACCGGGATATACTTGTTATGACACACAGATTGTGAACAGTGGCTGCGATCGGTAGTAAAGGGTCAGTTGCCTCCGATAGGATACATGAGTAGATGCTTAATACCAATACAAAAGCCTACCGGACACGAGCATAAACTTCACGGCACACATGTTTCATAGTGACAAATCGACAAACCAAAAGATGCCAAACACATCAATCCCTAAATCACGCCTACCCAATTACTCTATGCATAGTACAGATTTTCGAGACGTACCATAGTCATAGTCAGAAGTAATTGGTACTTTCGGTGTTCAACAACTGTTTTGCAGGAGGTGGGCGGTAAGCTAGCGTATAAGTACCGGACTTACCTCTCCATATGCAATGAATGAAGTACCTGTGGGCAGGGTATATGTCGCTCGATTTCCGCCGTCAATTGGGAAGGTCACACACATTTGTACGATCAAAATCGTGAGGCCCTAACCACCACCAAATTGTCAATATGTGCGCAGTGAATAGACATAATGTGGCACCTCCAGGAAGACATCAGCCTTCAACGAGAGTATCAACGAACTGTACATAGACATATGTGTCGGCGACATACCAGGAAGTCCCTGACAGTTTTCCATTAGTGTCTGAGTCGGCATAAAGATGTAATGAGCTACCTTCCATAGGTGAGAAGACCTAATATATCAGAATGGTATGTCACATTCCAAGCCCAGATGTACTGAGTGAAGCATAAGTACGTCTTGTAGCACAGTCTCATTACTTTGGATGCTCACTAAGACCCATATGGTAGTCCTAGCTGTGTCCAACAGCCTGAAAGCGATGTGGATGACAGGGTTGTGTTTGCATGACAATCGAGCACGCACCATAGCGAGGCCACCTGAAGGAGATCATACAGGTCAGATAAAGCGGTATCCCAGCGGCACGTCTGGACACGCACAAGAAACCATAGTCTTGTATGATCCATCGGATACCGTCTCATATAATACATCACTTGAGCGCAAGTGACGCCATAGAGACTATAAAACGAATTGCCAATCGACGTGATCCAGATTCAATAAACCCGCTCACAAGGTGCTAAGAGTGCCACCGATGAAAGTAGCGCGAGTGGTACTGTTTAATCGTGTGTTCAAGCTCATCGCGGATGAGGAGGTGCCCCACAAAGCATACAGTAAATTTCTTATATGGGGCTTTTGAATCAATCACGAGAAAGAACTCATCAGTTTGATCGAATGAGAATGAATAGGTCCTATCTTAAGGAATCGCAGAAACCATATTTGCATCTATCAAAAGCATTCATCTCAGAAGATGAGAGCATATTCACTACCCTGCCCGTGAAATCTTCACTTTCCGCATCGAAAGCGACATAATCTTCCTGTATTGGATCACAACTGAAAGCAGATGCAGCGCAGGGCCCCGCCAGCTCGCACTCTGTGCTGTTTAGAGAGCCGCTGGTGGCGATGCACGAGAATAGTCAGCTGGTAGTCAGCTGTCAAGTTGATACACGATTGTGACCTTCTTCATATATGCCGGAATGAATTTGAACAATCCGTATTGCACAATACGGGGCAGACAGCCGGGCCTGATATCGGTCCTCATGATTAGACCAACTACGCAAGAACACTCGTGGTGAAATACTCAGCTACAGCACGGGGCGTCCATCCTGGACAGCTTTACTAGTCGAAACCTGTCTGATGAGTTACTTCAAAATGTGAAATTGAACACAATCAACATGTCGAGGGGACCCGTCATGGTGATTGCGAAGAAAAATAAATTAGGGCTGCTCACCCCTTGTCCCTCGCTCGATCGTTCGTGTATTGTCACGACTGAGTGGTTCGTGCAAGTTCAAATGATGTGTACTTAGTTCGGCAATTGTCTCCTCTCGGACAGCTCAAACACTGTGTTCGTACAAGACGGTGAAATCCCAGGCCGTGTGGATTGATATGCAGGTTGTGAGATCCCGTTCTTTCAGGTGGAGCTATGGCTGCGGATAGAATGTCAGAGCGGCTACCACCGTATAGAGTCGGTACAAGTTTGGCTGATGCTCGATGGCAACGAGGGCACCAGGACCCGTGATAATCTGTGAACACAATGATAAATCCTTTGCACCAACAGATTGGGGTTGCGCCGGGCCTGGCTCAAAAGCCCGAGCCAGGCCAGCAAGTCCAGGGCCTGCGGCACTAGTTCAGGGCTTCGGCACCACACCCTATTAGCGTAGCGTGATTGCAGGAGACACAAAGGCATACCTTGACAAATGGTTTGGTATGTCTTCGCAGCGTTGGAGACTCCATGGTGAGGTGTAAACGTTCTCCGAACGTCGGGGAGAACAGGCGCTTCATGCTGAATGACTGTCTCTGTCCTTGAGTATCTCGAACAGTGTACTCACCTTCTCTGCTACTATACCTCTGGCTACTTACTGCAATACGGGCTCCTTCTAACGACCCCCTGCCCTCGATGTATAACAATCAGCCGCCGTGCATAAGCTGTGAGAAAGCCATGGCTTAAGGAGTTGAGCCAAGCCCGACCAGGCTCTCTGAAGCCAGGCCAAAGTCATTGCTTTCGAGACAAACGAAGCCAGGCACAACACTACAACAGATCGTTTGGAGATTGAATGGATGCCTTCCCGTAAGATCTGGATGCAAGCCGGACTCTGAAACAGACTTGTCCCTGGGGCGTGCCCGACAGAGCGTCTCTCACGACATAGAACTGCGGGCGCCCAACCGTGCGCCAGGGTCACAAACCGACATTGGCGCGCCCACTAATCGCATAAGCTTCGGATCAATGATATATATTGGGAAAGTTTTACACATGGTCTACCTACTCGTACGAAATATAAAGCTGCGCTCTCGTATGTACGAGCGTGAATGCTGTGGACGGCTGGTATCAGGAGCCCTGCGGGAAGGCATTCATTACAGAACGAAACCAGCGTATGCCGCAACTAGAGTGATCCCGGGGTCCTGTCGTGCACCTCACCGCTGATAATCGCAACTCTAAAGTCCTCACGAGCTAGTCTGCGTGTCGCATGTGTTCTACACTTACTCTCTTCATAGCCTACCTCAGGTCCGCCCGCACAGTACGGATCATTCAGCTTCCTAGGTTTCTTCTTAAACTGTTTCTACTTTTCTATACTAACATGGTCACCGAACGTTTCCGTGCCAACGTCTGTACCAGACAGAAGTCGTGTACTTCGCTCGATTCCACTGGGAGCTACAGAACAGCCATGACAAGCCATCAGAACATAGGCTTGCGACGCTTCGGACGAGGAGGGCGCGCGAATGCTACACCGCGATTGCAGCCTCTTCCGTGCAGAACAGTGCTGCTCAAACCAGCACCGGTGTCGTCCAAGACCACATCCTCGAGCTCCACCGAGTCACCCTCCTCAGGCTCAGACGTCTCCACGTCGTCAGCAGTGAAGTTAAAGACCATCGTCGCGCTGATGTCGTACCTGACCCGAGGTCCATACCTGGGTGCAACCTCGACGACGACAGAGGACTCCTCCGACCAAAGAGCATCAGAGTCGTCAGCAGCCTCCATGTCCGCACCATCGCAGAGGTCTACCAACGCGGAGTCAGCATGCTCAACGAGGATGTCCTCCTCGTCACGCTGGAGCTCCTCGCATTGTGCGGCCACGATGTCGTCCATCATTTGCGGAAGCTGCTCTTGAAGCTCCTGCAGATGCACCTGCGCGTTGGCCCGAGCCTCTGCCAGCTCCGCTCTGAGATCCGCGTTGCTCTCCCGGAGATCACAGATCTTCCGTCGGTTGTCCACGACCTTCGCAGAGAAGTCCTCCTCGGCCTTGCGCTTGTCATTGTCCAACTGCGCGCGCTGAATCTCGAGCTTGGCTTTCTCAGCCTTAACACCGGGGTCCAGTTCCTGGAGGTGAGTACGCTTCTCCTCGAGACAAGCGGCATGCGCCTCGAGCTCTGCGTTCCGACGCTCGAGCTCCGCGTTGTGCTCCTTAGCTGCGTTTATCTCCTGCTTGCAAACGGCATTCTTGCTCCTGAGTTCTCGCACCTTCTTGAGGTCCGCGTTGAGCTGCTCAGTCTGACCAGTCGATGCAGCAAGCTTGATCTCGAGGTCCTTGACCTTCTCCTCGAACGCCTGCTGTGCGAAGTGTGCCTCCACGCGCTGGAACTCTGCGCTACCCTTGATAGCGTCCATCTGCTCCGCGAGCTCCTTGCGAGACCGCATAAGCCCGAGGACCTCCACGGCCTTCGCACGGCGCGTCGTAGCAATAGCCTCGAGTTCAGCCTTTGCCTCTCGTAGCGACACTTCCAGAGCCTCCTTGTCCGCTCGGTCCTGGCTCACGGACTGCTCAAGATCCGCGCAGAGTGCCTTGGACTTCTTGAGGTCCTCTTCTGCAGACCGCAGCGCGGCTCGAGTGATCTCAAGTTGAGAAGACCTGTCGTCCAGATCGGCTTTCAGTGCCTTCTCCTGGTCCAAGAGCCCTGCAATCTCAGTGTCGCGCTCGCGCTACCAATAATCAAATGAGTGCATGCAAGAAGTAACGAGGAAACCACTGACCCGAGTCCGTGCAATGTCCTCGCGAAGCCGCTCGATGACCCTGTCGAGCTGCTGTTCCGCGTGCTCTTTCTCCACCAACTCCTCTCGTGCCAGCTTCGCCTCAGTCTGGAAGAACGTTCAGGTGATTTCTCACAAATCAAGAACGAGAACTCACCTGAAGTGCCTCCTTCTCGCGCTGCAGCCGCTCATGCGTACTGTCACGCTCGCTCTCCGCCTGCTTCAGTCTCGCCTCAAGCTCCTCAACCCCTCTACTCTTGTTGCCGGACGCTTTCCGGGCGCACTCAACCGTCGCCTTCAAAGCACGGACCCGATCCTCGCCCTTACGACGAAGGATATCCAGCGACGCCTGTTTCAAGATGTCACCAGCCGCAGAGACACATTAGGGTGCAAAACATACCTCGAGCGCCGCCTTCTCCTTCTGGGAGCGCTGAACGGCCTCCTTCTGAGCGGCTTTGATCACAGCAATGTGCGCCTCGAGCTCTTGTACCCGTCGAGACTTCTCGTTGCCATCTTGACGAGCGGCGGACGCCTTCTCCTCGGCCTGTGCAGCGGCTTGACGGATGGCTGGAAGGTGTTCCACAAGCTTACGGTTGCGCGCCTCGCGTTCCTCGATAAGGGCTGTGTTGCAGTCATGTTGACGGTGAGCAGCGGCGAGAGCCTCCTTAAGCTTCGTCACCCGAGCACCCACGACTACAGCAACCGAGGGCGCGTGCACCGCGATAGACCCGTCGTCATCGGCCGTCGCATCCGCTGCCTTGTTGACCGCGCTCTTGTGGTCCACCGCATCGAGCTTGTCCACGTAGTTGAGACCGGAGCCGGATGCTTCAGCGCCGACGGCGCCTTCGCTAGTGCCGGAAGCGTAGGCCCATCCGATGCTTGCTGGTTGCTTTCCCTTGTGCGGCGTAGACGTGCGCGGCGAGTTGAGGTTGTCCTCGTCCTCAGACTCTGAACCACACGACCAGTCCGACTCGCTTGACCAGCCAGACTCATCGTCCGACTGCAATCCTCGTCAGGATATCTACACTCCGTATTATCACCCAGGAAGCTCACCGATGGAGAATACGATGGAGACGGGGCAAGGTCACTCCGCGTCGCACAGCAACGGCGGACCGACTTCTCACCCGCCCAAAGCCCAGTATACACCACGCTAGACGATGCAAAGCCGTATCCCATGTACCAAGGGATGTAGACAGCCCCCCATGGTATGAACCCGCCATCAAAGAGCACCACAAGCCAGAATATGTTCGTGAAGTTGACGACCCACAGGACCACTAGACGAGCAATGAACGTCGTCTTCTTGCCGTAGCCTGCCACTCGGGCCAGTTGCTGCCAAAGACCCTCGCGTCCAAGGCGACCCAGTTCCTATGCCATGTATATCAGCATACATGTGCGATGAGTCGAACATGGACTCACCGATGGAGATAATGCCAAATGCATCCAAGGATCGAGAGAACCAGACGCCGACCGGCGACGTCCGATAGACCGGCTCCATGAGTACCGCAACATGGCATTGATCCAGAACACCGAAACAGGGCCGCACATCCAGAACACGAGTCGCCCAAGGCCGCGTTGCTGCATAGATTGAGGTCTTGAGGTCTTGACAAGCCCGACAGTGGAGGCTCCGCCGACACAGAGGACGAGGAACCAGAACACCAGAGAGCAGACCCAAGGATTGGATGTACCGCTACCACGCGTACCAGACACGGAGACATGCACCCCAACCCAGACCAAAGACACAAGCAGCGACAAGTCCAGTACCATGGACGGCACGCAGATCATCCCGAGAACTGACAATGAAGTCGTCCCAGACAGAAGACCAGCGCGCAGAACCAGAGTTGTTGCGCGGCGAAGACCCAACCGCGCGAGGACCTTAGATACCATGCACAGGATGACAAGGAAGTAGACCACCTGAGCGAGCAACCAAGGACCAGAGGGGCCATAAAGACCCGCGTCGCCCGGGTCGGCGCAACCCCAGAGCGGGGCCGGCACCTCGCCGAGCGACGCGAGCGACAGGCTGCGAAAGCGCAAGAGCTGATGGCTAGCCCCGACACTCCCGTTGCCCATCGCCCACTCGGACTCGTCAAGCCCGAGATTTAGACAGAAACCGGGAACCGTACCATAAACCATGTATGCCATGAGGAAAACCAGGTTGGGCGGCCTTGCTCTCGTATATAGCCCGCGGCTGACACGGCTGACGAGGCTGGCACGTCAGGCTCGCTGGACGCTCCATGCTCTGCTTTCAGGTTGTGATAGCGGCTGGCGATGTCTGCTCATAGCCCCGGAGGTTTGTCCACCGTAAAGTCTACTCTTCGTCTAGAATATGTTCTGCTTCACGGTTGTTGGTGAGAGAAAGTACAGTGACTGCTGATATGCTGCCTGCATGTTAACTGCCGTGGTTGAGCGATTGAATGACTTGAACCGAGTCTGAAGATCGGAAGACGACTTGTAATTACGGATTACGGTACAAAACACCTGGGGCCTGAGGCAAGTCTGAATTTGAGAGATGAGTGTCAGAGGAAAACGTCAGCTGCCGGCGCCTGCGCTCAGGCGATCAAAATCGTCGGATTTTGCAGAGGCTGTTTGCAGCCCTCACCTCCAGTCCGGCTTTGAAAGTCGACTGTATAGCCCGCTCGTCTTTCCATTGAACTTTGGACGTATGGATATTTCTACGAGCGTCTTCACACCGGAAATCTGCGTCTCTACAAAGTGCTTGACGATTCTTCGAGTCTGCGTCAACAGATGGTCTGGTCTGGCTTCTTATGTTTGCCTCTCATCGCTATGGGTGAAGTGGTTTGTCGTGAGAAACGGGCCTTCGAAAGCAGCGTAGCTGTTGTCACAAGGATCATCGAAGACTTATCATTCGAGTTCACACCTAGACTCTGTGCTTCGCCGTTCATGCTGCCCGTTATTCATAGGCGTCTCAGGTGTATTGTGAGTGTGCCGCCTCTCACTTGGATTGACCGGCTTGGATATGGGCATGCAGTGCATCAATCGATGGATTGTCGTTGCATTGTCCAGTTCGCAATATACAAATGAGACATCTCTTGTTCATCCCTCATGGGCAACGAACAGCCCAGCTCGACGACAGATCTCTTGCTAGCCCCATCCGTTGTGTGCGGTCTTGTCATCCTCTTTGGAGAGGTAGCGCGAATATGTGTTGTTCTCAGCATCTATACGTATGGCGGAGGATCTTTTTCTATCAGCTGACGTACGTGCGTCGTCGAGGCTGTAGATGCGAATGGGTATGTACGCACCTCGGGGCTGGCGTCGTCTTTCATCGAGCCTCACTTCACCTTTTCAGAACCCGAAGATATGATACTCCGGCTGAAAGTTTAGCTCTCGGCCAATGTCGATCCCCATTGTATTTGATTTGTCAATCTGAAATGGATAGTGATGGTCGTCTCCTGCGACGTCATCTTGCTCCTGTGGCCACATACGCCATGAATATCCTCGATTCTCACAGTGAAAATGCAGGAATGTCACCAGAATGCAGCCAGCGGTCTTAACCTGCCCAGGGACATTCTGTGGTTTGTGGCCCCGGCGAGTCAAATTCGTCGCGGCGACAGTCTGGGCGTGGGAGGTGGCTTGACGGTGTCCGTCAAAGTGTAGTGCACTGCGTGCTCATCGTCTATCCAATATATAACCGTCCGCGCTGTCCGTGAGTGCCCAACATTTACGGGATCATACGTGATTGTGGCGCGCCTCGCAATCGTATGTTGCTGTATGCTGTTGAGCACTACAGTCTGTTGTGTACGCATCCTCGAACACTGCCACGCAGTCCAGTTCTGCTAGGTCGGACGCGAAGTGGGTGTTTGTATGAGCATCCAGGCGGGTGGTAGCGATGCGCTCGGGATTGAAGCGTCGACGATATAGGCCCTAGCGATGCCGCGCAGGTTGGAGTAAAGCATGGGCTTTATGCCGTAGATTGCAGCGGACAAGGTACCGTGTCTATCGAGTATCCTAGCGGGTCAGGCTGCGCGACAGCTGTGTGTCGCGGATGTTGAGATGGCTGGCATACTGGTGGCTGGATATGGGTTTTGGTTAGAACTATTCTGAGAATTTCCCACGTGCAGTGCCTTTTGCAAGGTGGAGTGATTCGGTTTGGAATTGGGGACAACTCGAGTCGTTTGCCATCTCGCATGACAGGTTTGATTATTTAGGCGTCACACCAAACAGTGCCCTTATCGATCAGTTGCGAACATAGTGTATCTTCTGCAAACCAGGGTGGTAAGTTGTCACAAATTGTAAGTTACAGCTCGTCCGCTCATGGGGATATCGCTACCTAAGACCACAAAACTCTTTGCGGTTGCAGCTGCATCGTCGGTGCTTCCAATAATGACACCACTACCCGATGATGACCACCTCGCTCGCTTGCCAGCAACACGTCACGGTCAGATAACACTGAGGCACCCTGCCCCACCTGTTCTCCATTGTCAGAGTCGTCCAGAGTAGATGTGCTCGACGATGGCGATGAGGAGGGGGACGTTGCCGTAGGTATTGTCTGATCTGATGTAAATTGAGGGTTTGGCTCTGGCTCAACCGGCTCGATGATGATCCCGTCTTGTAATTCGTCGTAGCGCAATCGTATTGTCCAGTTCTCCTTGACCTCGTCGTTCAAAAAAAGCAAGGAAAGAGGCCGCAAGACTTGAGATCTTATAATTCGCTCCAGGCTTTGTGCACCAGTGTTCGGAGACAATCCTGATATTTCAAGGTACAACTTTGCTTGAGGATCCACTTCCAAAAAGAGTTTGATGTGAGATAAGTGGACTTCGAGGTCTCGGATCCGGGAGTCAACAATGGCTGACATCATGTCTGCTGTCACCCGACGCTGCTCTCCTATTGTCAGTCCAAGAGTAAGGTGTGATATTTCGAGAGACGTACGAAGATGACTAGTTCGTCTATTCGAGCAAAGAATTCGACAGGGAACCAGTCTTGCACTTCTTTTACAAAATGCTTGCGTTCTTCTTCCTCTGTTTGTATTTCTAGGGCACCCTCTTGACCAACGCTGGTCGTCATTATAACTATACAATTCCTGTACGTGGTAGCGGTGGTATTAGTGCTCAGTGCTACGCCTCTATGACCGCAAGCCGAAGGATCACTCACGTAAAGTCAATAACCTTCCCTGCGCCATCTCTTAAGGTACCCTCGTCGAGTATTCTTTGAATGTGAAGTCGAAACTCCTGGGATGCCTTCTCGATGCTACAAATCCACGAAATTAGACTTCCTGGTCACGCAATGGGAAGGATTGGACACATACTCCTGTATCAAGATGACGGAGAAAGGCTTCCGTTTAACGCACTCGGTAAGTTGACCACCATGGTCAAATCCAGTACAGGCGGGGGTACCAACCTAGGAGCTGAGGTCAGCGCACGGCGGGCAAAGCTACACCGTCATTTCAGTTCTTACCAAGCGTGAGATCGCGTGCGCGTCGGCGTAGTCGACGCCATGTATACAGATGAGCTTCTCAGCTGAACCGAGAAGCGACCTTGCAAGCTAAAGCTCACGTATGTCAGATTATAGGTAAAAATAACCCGGGAGAGACCAATATATAGTCGTCCTTCGACGCGTACCTCCTTGGCAAGAAGCACTTGACCAGACCCTGAGGGGCCGCCAAGCACAAAAGACGCCACTGGTCTTGAAGGGTCCGTTAACCCGCTCAATAGACAGCGGACCGCGCTGGAGATACTTTCAACAGCTTCAGGTTGTGCCACCACCTGCGATTTGATACTACCGTCAAGTATTCGTCTAGATTCATGCGTTGAAATATGATACATGCCTTCTGCGACAAATAGTCTGCAATGTCTTGCATTTTCTGCCCGTTCGATGCACCACAGTTAACGCCATGAATAGGCCTGTGCGATGCTGCTATTTCGACCACATGAAGTTTTGTGACGACTGGTAGTTCTTCCGGACTAGACGAGACAGGTGGAGGCTCGCTTGGAGTAAGCATGTTATGTGCTTCCATCTCCATTCTGGATTGATCGAGCTTTTGCTGCGCGATGATCTTCTTCTCTTTGAGTCGCATAAGTTGTTGAACATCTTCCTTCTTCTCTTTGTACTGCCTGTGCACGAATTGTGAGCCCCGTTAATTTCGCATGTTATTGACTGCTTCCGTTCATACCCTGCCTGTCCGCGTGTCAAAATCGACTTCTCTTGTATTCTGATGCTCTGCTCAATCTCAGCCAGCTCTTTCTCGAGCGGCCTCGACGATCTCGCAGAGGAAATGCAGCTTTCAATTTGTATTTCGAGATTTTTCAATTCCTCCTGCATGCGTTGCAGCTCCGTATCGCCTGTACCGTCAAATTCTCGCTTGAACAGGGCATGATTATGTGGAGACGCAAAAGCAGCAATTGGCGCACCTCCAATGACTCGATATCCATTTCGATAGCTACCTTACGTCTCCTCCACTTGCCCAACTGCTCCCAATTCGCGTCTTTGCTAATCTTGACATTGGTACAGGCTTCATCCAACAACTCAATGGCAGAGTCAGGAAGTCTGCCGAAACACGATCAGGGACGTCGAGCCAAATCGCAATACACGGGAACCGTACCGCTTGTGAGTAAAGTATTGAGAAGCGATGTGCGCTGCAGTCGTAAATGCTTCGTCCAGTATATGCACATTGTGGAATTGTTGCAATCCACCTCTCATACCCTGTAGGATGGCATTTACCTCGGAAACAGTTGGCTCACAGACGTATACCTGCCGTGAACGACCAGTAAGATCAGTGATAAGAGTAATCAAAGTATGTGGTACTCGCTGGTGAGAACTGACGAGCGAGCGCGCCATCCTTCTCAACCGAAGATCTGTAATCTTCAAATGTGGAACACCCAATACATCGCAGTTTCCCCGAGGAAAGGAAAGGTTTCATCAGGGTTGCAGCATCGCTATCGTTGCAGAATGTCAGCCACAAGAACGAGGTTCACGATGTCTCTCGACGTTGTTCGAGAGTAGACAGAAAGGAAGCTCACATGCCGCTTCCATCACCTCGATAACCACCGATGGTTATCTGACTGAGCTCATCGATGAAAAGGATGGCGCTGATACCCATTGATTCATGTTCAGCGATCTCTATGCAGGGTCATCGTTGTAACAGCTTGCAGGGGCATGAGACTGAGGATACTCACCGTCCAGGATCAATTGTAGGATCTGAGCGAAATGGTTGTGAATATCATACATAACAAAGTGAGGAGTCCGCTTTTCTGACGCACCTGTTCATAGGCAGATTTACAAGCAGTGCTGGCCAATAAAGCCCCTAAATTCAGACTGAACACGCGGGCACGCACAGACTCGGGGACATTCCCCGAGACAATCCTCAACGCTAATCCCTCCGCTATGGCGCTCTTTCCTACACCCGAATCGCCTGCAAAACCGATTGTAAGAGAGCTGTTCCAAGTTACAAAATACCACTAAAAGCGTACCCAGGAGGACGGCATTATTCTTCGACCTTGTGGAATCATTTTGGTCAGGAGGTATACATATATAAAATCGATCAGGAGACTTACTTGCGTGACAGGATCGAAATTAAACGTCGGATCTCACGATTCTGCTCGGACATGCAAAAGGATGGGGTTTACTGACGCAGGAAGAATATCACTTACCCTCCCAACTATCGGGTCGATGAGCTCGCCTCTGTCTAACTTCTCTTTGATCAATCGAGTGTCCTCAACCGCAAACCTGAAAGTGGACAAGAGTGAGCGTAGACTAAAGGCGTAAGGGGCGTACTGTGTCACTTACTGGCTCAACATAACGAATTTCGGCTTTGACATTTGCTCTTCTACCTTCTTTTGCCTCAAGCGTCGGGTTATCTCAATGACAGCATCCGCGCTGATGCCAAACTTCGAGCTTTCAAGAAGACCACGTATCCCTCCTTCCTCTGTCGATTCTAATATTGCGATCAGAATGTGGTGCGGCGCCATGAAAGTGTCCTCCTGTAAAGAAGAATGATGGTTGGAAGATGCAGGCTCGGTTGCGTGTGGAGAACACGTACGTTGGAATCCTGTAGCTCTTTCGCTCTGACGAGAACGGGTCTCATCGTTTCAGAGCAATTGTTCCACACCGTCTCGAAAACCGTAGCAGATTAGCCCTTTAATCGATATGCACAAGGGAATTAAGCTCGCGTACATCTCGATCCTCAGTAGGCTGAGTGCGGTCATCGTTGAGAGTTTTGGTTCTGGCCCACAGGTCATCTGCGATCTTCTTCTGAATAGGGGTAGATGCTGGCTCATCAGGGAAGGTTGCCTTCTGGATGTGGTCGTCGAGGGAGTCTGAAAGTTCTGAAGCATAGACTTTCGATATAGCTATCCAGAAAAGCGGTCGCTCTAGGGCCCAGGTCTGAGGAGTCGAAATGTCATAGAAGCGAGGGTCATATACGCTTTGAAGTCCGTCATAGAGGAGACAGAGAGCTACATGAGTAGGATGTATGAAGCGGAGATGGAGAGAGTCAACGAGACTTCGGCATCTAGTCCAGAGCTCGTCCAGTTCGTCATTGAAGGATAAACGGTCTTCCGGTGTTTCAGCAATACTAGTTTGCGAACTGCGGAGAGTCCGCGTAGAGTTGTGAATTGATTGTTGGTCGTCTCTGTTGGTGGTGGTCGACATGTTGGCAGAATACTATGCAGTCCAAGGTAAAAGTGAAGACCTGATTAAATACATAAATTTGCACGTGCCTCGCTGATTGATTGAACATTGAACAACGCCGGACCAGCAACCTCGTGCTTACAAAGGGCGCAACTAGCATGGTTCAGGAGTGTGGTTCATGAATGAAACCAAATCAAGGAAGCGTACCTCGAGACACCACGAGGGATTCATTCCGGATCATGTCAACATACTGACTAGGTATTGTTCTATTATTTTGCACGCTGGGAATGCCTTTGGCGCAACGCGTATTCAATGAGGCCCATGCCAGTGGACAAACCGGAAACATGAGGCTGTTCCTTCTTACCTTCACGTTACCAGGGACGAGCGGCAGAACCCGCAAACATGAGGTAGCAATATGCACTCATAAGTCTGTATCGCCACGAGACTCCACAACGTATGACTTTCCCGCATACATAGTCAAGTGTGCAGGTCTTAACGCCTTCGCTTCACCCTTCTACACCTGGAGCGTATTCAAGGGACATGGCCAATATCCTCCTGAATACTGGCTTCAAGCAGGCATTCTCATTACCTCTAATGTCCTTTTATTACGAAGTGAATTCGTCCGGAGACAAATTCGAGCAGTATCGACTCCTGCATGTAATTCATTATAAGAACAAGGATGTCATCGGTACGCTGCTAGTTGATCAACGCAGTAGGATAGCTGTTGACTACGTTTTTCGTGGAACCTAGGAGCAGCTCACGAATTTCTCATTCTTGGCATTCTCAGTGGCACACAGACCTTCTACGTGCGGGTTGAAAGACGACCTACCCTACGCGCTTCAAATGTATCAGGTTCCGTCGCTGATGACAGCATTAGTCGGGAGCAAGACTTCGATCTAGAGGCCTACAAGAAAAAATACGACATGGTCACCGACCACAGGTGTCCTCGAAAGCCGGTTGTCCGCGTTTCCGACATCTGCGAAATCTTCTGTGCCATGCACAAGATATCTCCGAATTATGAGCTTCTCAAGTATCAGTGCTATTGGCTTTGTAGCACGTTCTTGCGGAAGCTCGAACGTCTCGACGGAGGGAAGCCGTCCACGACCAATGTCTCGAGAGGGAAGGAAGCAATTGCGGGGAAATGGGCTCGCTTTGTGCCGATTATCACTGAGAGAAAGGTGCAGAGCGATATAAAAGCGGCGGAGGAGCGTGAGGAAGATGAGGTGAAAAAGAAGGAAGAGAGAGAGGACGGACGGATTAATGCTGAGTTCGTGATGAGCATCCAACGCGAGAAGAAGAAGACCTTGAAACAGGTCGAGGAGACGCAAGCCGCTGTGACTCCGCTCCTCATAACGAGCCGGGGAAAGGGCGCTGCAGAAGAGCTGGCAGTGAGATCTGCATTCTCGAGGCTTGTCGTCCACGCAAGCAAGGGTCAGTGAGGAAGAAAACGAGTGGGCGAGGTAACCCCAGCGGCGATCTGGTAATTGTAGAAACAGCGCGAATACGAAGAATGTTCTGTACGAGATGACATACTTCCGTTGCTGAAATTGGATGCCTTCCGAGTCGCGGAGGATTTAATCATCGAAAGAACTGGAAAATCGACCGCCAGAGGACCCCGGGTAAGCGCCGTGTGAGGCCTCAAATCTCACGTTCCTCTCATGCCAGTAAGGGTATCAATGTGGCAAGGTCGTGAGCAGGCTGTATCGTGGTGTGGGAAGGAAGATACCATCCAAGACGCATCGCCTCCAATAGGAGGACAGCCGATAGGCGCCTATGATGAGTGCGTAAGCTCTTCAAGTGGTTACGCAGAAGGCTTGGCAGTGTCTTTTTCGAATTCCTCGGGTTCAGACTCTAAGTACAGCGTAGGTACAGGTAGAGTATAACCGAGCCACGAATGGCTCCTCATACCGAACTCTGCGCCCTCATACGGAATCGTACCGTGAAGTGCGGTGATGGCCCCTTCCCTCCGATCCTAAAGGCCACGGCGAAAGGCTTGGTTGTATTGGATACTCATCTGCCATCTCATACGCTGAGACATATTGTTGTATGTAAGAGCGACCGATGCATCAAGGACCGCTCAAGGCCCCGAAATGCCGTTATCGTCTCTTTCCCTGACACTGCCTGTTCTGCCCCAAGTGAATGCGAGCGTCATGAAGAATCGCCTCGTGGATACCTGAACGCAGCCAGCGACCGCATATCTCAGCATGGAACGGAGCCTTCCTTGTGTGCCGACGTAAAGCCGTTGCCTGCCTGCTTCCGCATGATAAGTAAGTTCATTTCAAGCGCTGTGCGACGAAGAGCTTATTAGGATGATTGCTAGGATACTCTGGCCCAGAAGACCTAGAGTCACCGTACCCATCTAGGTTATATACAATCCTTCCAGTACGGTACGTCGACAACATCTGAGATTTTACGTAGTCGCTCTTGCTGATAGTCATGCACAAGGGCCCACCATAATGTTGTCTGCCTTCCGCTCATATGAGGAGGTCGAAATCCCTAGATCCATGAGAAAGGCGATCCAGCGGTTTCCGCTCGTCCGTTTTGTCCCAGCTATGGACATCGGGGAGCATTCTACTCAGGACGAAGTTTGGGAACCCTCCGCTCTTCCTGATGTATATCTCGAAACGCATAATGCAACGTGCAACATCTGTCTAGAGGAATTCGAGCCTCCCAGGAGAAAGCTGTCAACAGATGAATCATCGCCTTCGAAGCCTCTGCGACAACTCCCCTGCACTCATGTTTTCCACGTATGTACACCCTTGCACTCTTACGCGCTTGATGGTAATGCACAAACAGACATTATGCATAGATCCGTGGCTTGCACAGGAGCGTACGTGTGCTCTCTGCCGCCAAAATGTGTTTGAGATGCCTTCTATGTAGGTATTCTCTTACTTGTGGTCGTCGGGGATTTCATTGTACCTTATTAGGCAAACACACTATTCTCTGAGCGATTCGTCGTCTGTGTCTGGGCATCTTGCACGTCCTTCAAGGTTTGCTTCAATATTTCCATTCCTGCTCCCGAACTCATGACAGTCTAGCCCAGGGGCAAGGGTAGAGCCACCTCCCTATCGACGACGAGGGGTCTTGGGGCTCGGATCGAAGCTGAAAGATATCATACTCCGTCGTCGGTATCATGGCCGTGATACTCTCGACACGTAGGCCCTTTTCGAAGCAGGAGCCGAAGGGCAGTAATCGTGCGCTAGAGAAGGGAGCGTAATATAACGCACCGGAGTTGTAGCCACCATGCAAGCCGATGAATTCAATGTATACGCGACCCGACAATCCGGCCCACGATCTATAGCATAACATGCAGGGTATTCGAATGTTTCCTATTTATATACCTAGCTGGGCTGTCTATTGGCACGGACCTTCTGGGCTTCGAACCAGTACCCCGATTATGGTGTGACGGTACGCCCATACCCGTAGTCGCTTCGGTGCCGGAAAGCCGTGTGTCTCGAGTCTAATTTGAATGCCATTCTTACTGAACTCATGCATGCATGAATGCGCGCTCATTCCTTCGCATATGGCTGGTCCCTTCCATACACACGCAGTAGTTGTTGGTATTGATCATGGTGAGTGAGTCTCGTAACTGAAACACTCGAACCAGCGTCGTCCTTGAAATCATCGTATCACACTCTATAGAGGCCGAACGATGATGCCTCATGGCTCTTATCATACTGGTGAGAACACTTGATCCGTAATAAGTACAGATTATAACATGATAATAATGAATGGTGTCGGCCACGCTGGCATGCTGAGGCAGGTGACGGCGATTCTTTCAGGACAGTGCCGCGTCAATATAAACTCGATCCAAGTCGTGTCAGCCATCTACCCGTCCTCTTACCTCTGGCACGCCTTGACACTCCCAACCGTTATACTGGTCGTTTCACGCAAACGTAATGGCCCTCAAGCGCATACAGAAGGTGAGTTATTGATCATATCATATACCGTGAAATACGCTCAGGGCTACTGAACTAAGGAATTGATTGCTATTCGCAAAGATCCTCCTCCATACTGCAGCGCCGGTCCAGCGGGTGAAGATATTTTCAACTGGCGAGCCACAATCATTGGCCCGGTATGTAGTCCTTGCAGTTCACCGCCGTAATAACCGTCTGATATCTAAACCATGACGTAGACCGGTTCTGCCTACGAGGGGGGAGTGTTTTTTCTCAATGTGACATTCCCTAAAGATTATCCACTCCACCCTCCGCAAGTTCGATTTGAAACAAGGATCGTACACCCAAACATCGATCGCGGCCAAGACGGCCATATCTGCATAGATATCCTGCGTGATCAATGGACCCCAGCGTTAACAATTTCCAATGGTGGGCCCTTTCGGACGTTATCTATGTGTTTTTTGAATACGGGTTCCTTAGTCCTGCTCTCTATCTGCTCGTTGATGAGCGAAGCCACGATTACGAAAGACGCTGTCGAGACCACGCAGAAGTATGTGCTTGAATATCGCATATATTCACTGCGATGTAGCTTATCGCTGCGTTATTCTTACAGATTCGCGAAGTGAACTGTGATCCTTGTGTTTCAGAAAGTGTAAATGCTTCAAGGGGAGAGTCTGCAGTGATTGTGTAACAGATTTCACCATTGTGTTCAAGGTCCATAGCGTCGCATCCGAAACCTGACATGCTTTAAATATGCTCGTTGAACTTCATAATCATTGAATTACTTCATGCTCGCCTGCAGACCGTCTGTGTCCCCACGACTTGCCTTGCGGCGCACACCCTTATTCTTGTCGGTCTCATGATACCAGAATCAACTGAAAGCACAGCATCTTCACTCGATATAATCAAGTTGCCGCTGCAAATACTTAAGAGAAGCGAGTGAAGGTGCGTACAGACCATGGCACCTTCCCCGTGGTTCAGAAGAATAACGATGTGCTTGTGCGGACCTAACAGCGAGACAACTACGGGGCAGGATGTCAAATCAAGGAGTTATAATGCTGTGCATTCCACACTTTCGTGGGGCATGTCTTCCGTGTGAAGTAGCACAAGTATCGCAAACACTTGGATAAAATGCCAACAGTACACGCGAAGTACTAAGGGAACGGCGTGAGGGAATCATAGAACACGTTCGCTAATGGGGAAAAATGGACAGATATCGCGAGAGAAATATCCGAGCTGGATCATGCTGACGTTCCGCCGCCACGTAGGCGAAGAACTATACATCCGAAAAGCGTTAGATTATTGAGTCACGATATATATCAAGTTTGACGTAGCATACCGAGGTGTAACGTGCTCTCCTTCTGGATATTGTAGTCAGCAAGGATCATGTCCGGAACAAGCTGCTTTCCGCCGTACAGCAGGCGTTGCTGGGACGGTGGAATTCCCGTTTTCACCTCGACCTTCTCCAACAAGCTCTTTACGGTATCCGCAGGAGATACCATGATTGCCATTGTTTTACCGTTCAGATTCTTTACGAAGATTTGCACTTCTTCACTTGAGGGCACTGGGCGCCGGAGCCTCTGTAACGTCGTGCGAACTGAACCTTGGCGAGCGGGTGTGGACCGTGTGCCTATACATTTGAGGTCAATTTGAGCATGATTTTCATGAAGAAGAAAGCCAGCTCACTGAGATGCACCGTGTTATCAGTCTGAAGCTCATAGTCTGCGAGGGATCGTTGATCTTCCAGTTCCTGACCGCTGAACAACAGGCGTTGGTCATCCGCCGGGATACCCAGCTTTTCCTCAATCTGCTGCTTCAGTACAAGGACCTTTTCATCCATCGATAAGGTCACGGCAATTGACTGATCCCCGACGGTGCGGATATAAATCTGTAGCTGTCCGGGGAAGAGCATGCGGAACACTTTGTTCTTGTCTTTCTTCTGCGGAACTAGACCTTCGCCGTCAGGCATAATCCTCTCCATTGGGCAAGGAAGGGGTGGTGCTCCACCGCACAGGCGAAGGGCTGATGCAGATTATAATGAGAACGAATATGTTGTGTAATTATTGAGCCATTCGTACCGATGACAACGATATCCTCATCATGAACTCCACAATCGGCGAGAGTTTGGTCACCCTCGAGAAAGTGACCACGAAACTTCAGGTGCAAGGTGGGTGTGCTAATGTGCGACAAAGATATTCAGCCCTAGAGGATTTGGAGCAGGCCGTGGATCTACCTATCAGTCTCTATGATCCTACGTTTGACGGAGTCAATGGTGTCCGAAGATTGGACAAGTACGGTGGCGATAGCACCAGAGAGCTGTTCCACGAATAATTGCATGAATGAGATACGGCGCAACAGGCGTACTGCAAAGACGAATGTCGTATGTTCTGAGGGTGAATATGTGAGCAGGAAAAGCGAATCAACGTATCGCACGAAAGGGGCTTTTGAGCCTTATGAGGTGTGCCGGAAAAGCAATCAAGTTCACTAACACACAACTTCATGGTCTCCGTGAGGAGTCGAGATCAAATCAACGGTTCAGCGACACCACACTGTGTGCTCGTGTCTAACGTACTTCGGATCTTGCACTTTGTCCGTCTATGACCGCGGCCGTAGCTCTAAATTTGGCTGAGGCAGTCTCTCAGGATCAAGTAGACATGAAGAGTGGGTTTGTGTGCTGTCAAAAATTGCGCGCAGCTCGATGGAAGTTGATCTACGGAGAGGCCAATGCTTCTAATTAAAACAGGCAGGATGTTGATGGTAGTCCCGCATACAGCTAGTGATAGTGCAAGGGTCTGCCTCGAGGTCGCCGTCCAATGCAATAGCGCGGGCACCAGTCTCTTAGCCTCGCGTTTTACAGGGTACATACAGCCGGGTGACTTGTGACTTACCCCGAGATGAAAGTTCTTTCCATCAAGCGGCGCCTCCTGGGCGCCCGATGCACGCGGACATGAAGCAGAAATTATAGGGATGCAGTCTGGGAATGATGAGACGCTAAAGCTGCTCCGTGCATTGGCACTCACTTGGCCCGTTATGGTATTTGTGGTCTCCGCATATCGGACCAGGGACTTCTCCGGGCGTCTCCTTTCTGGCGTAGTCACAAGCCAGTCATACTCCGGTCACGCGCCTCACACGTCGTCCTCGTCGTTTACGAAATGAATGTACCTCCGGCCGAGGCTACGCCAAAACTGCCAGAATCATAGATGTCAGCCTAGTGGATCACTCTCCGCAGCGACTGGACGATTTGTAGATGCGAACCAGACTCTGAAATAGGCCCGTCATGTCGGTCAGTGCCATTTGGCAGAAGAAAAGCGCCCAGAGGGTAGACGCTACCAAGACGTTACCGAGAAATGACGAATGAGGCCCCTCAAGGTCCCTGCCGCGCTCGGGTACGTATAATTGACATGAGTCAGAATACCTTTTGACCACTTGTCCGCGGTTGAGGCCCGTGTAGGAATGAATCGCCGTCCTGTTGATGAGGAAATAGCCAGGTACGCCCCTCCTGGGCCACCGCCTCGAGGTGTCGTTGTGGAGTCAGACGCCCACTTCACCCTTTGCCTCGCCGAAACCATGATGCAGAGGCAGTTCGCCTTTGTTGTGGTGAATCTTGTCGGCCGCTTGTCTGATCTCTCACGACAAGCCGTCCCGCACCTATTGTGTGCTGGACTTAAGAGATGCACAACCTTATAAGCGATTCGAGGACTGCCACGGATTGTAGTCACTTAGACCTTCGCATACCGTTGCACAACCTCTACCAACTACGATGGTGGACGCAGCTCCTGACAATTTCCCCGCGGAATTCACAGAGGGCCTCGTTGAGTTCTTCACCAAGGCCACTGACATCGCTGTTCGTGTTGACAGCAATGAAGGTGAGTTATTTGTGTCGCCTCTTGAGCAGAAATATTCAATGAATCGCAGTCGGGCCTACGCACATGTTCATGGCGCTACTGTGTGGAAAGGATATCGACATCGACAATTTGAACCAACTCCGGTCTCCCGAAAGTCCGACGCTATTGTGGTCAGTTTTACATGACCTATCTGCTGATCATGTGCGTCAATGTATCCTTGCCTGTTGTTGTAAATACAATGATGCTCAAGCCAGTGATCATAGGAATCTCTTGCCCACTCTATCGCCACGCACATGAAACCAGAACGGCCTTCTTCTCCGGACCGTAACTTGAGACCAGGCACCCCGACAAGGGGTCGCAAGCGGCCACCTGTGGCATCTCAAGATGGACCCAAAGTATGACATTGTAATGTCAAGGAGAGTGTTTATTGACTATTGCTGACAGTACAAGTTTTGGCTTGCCCCGTTTAATCGTCATAGGGATCAAAGTCGTCCCCGCATCATCCCGTCGCCCTCCCCTAGTACCCTGCAAGTGAATAGGACCGATGAGCGCACAGCCAGCAGCTCGCTCATCACCGCTATCAAGCTTGCACGCCAAAGGAAAGCGGAACTAGTAAGACAGCCTTCACCTAAAGCTCCAGTGACCCTCTAAATTGCCTAGGGCGACACGTTTGTCGGACCGTATCATCTACTCCTAGCGTTGATTGAAGATAAAGACGTGAAGATGATTTTGGTATCGAATGATGTAGATATCTCCGACTTCGAGAGGACCCTCAAGTTGCGCAAAGGAGCAAAAATCACAAACGCAGAGGATAACGGATTCCCATATCTTGCCAAGCATGTCTTCCGCACACGAGAATCATCTCGCAATACTGATTCTAGACCTACTGTCCTCAGATATGCGACAGACATGACCGCGTTAGCGCGTGAGGGGAAGCTGAATGACACGATTGGCAGAGTGGGTCACCAGCGGTCGTAACTACAGACGGCGTTAACAAACCCTACATCTAGGATGAGGAGATACGTCGTGTTATTCAGATTCTGTGCCGTCGGTGAGTTCTCTCATGGGTGTCGTATGGGCAGCGATTTGATGACAGCCCCTCGTCCCTCACAGTACAAAGAACTCTGCGGTACTGATAGGTAAAGCGGATAAGCTGATTCCTGTAATGTATTAAGTTGAAGTGACAACGCATGCGCAGGTGAACCTGGAGTAGGAAAGACCGCTGTTGCAGAAGGACTAGCTCACCGCATCAATTTACGTGATGTCCCAGAGCATTTGAAGGGTACCATCTACAGCCTGGACTTGGGCGCACTATTTGCAGGTGCAGGGAAGGGCGAATACGAAGCGGCAAGCTTGTTTCCTCGATCACTGCGCCTCTATGGCTTACGTACAGCTTAAGCGCGTCAAGGGCGTGATAGACGGTAAGATGAACCCACTTTGACTATTTTAACACGCTCAATCACTTTCTCATTCGATAATCAACCAGACGTCATGCGAAGCCAGCAAAACGCAAGTCCGGTGATACTCTTCATAGATGAGCTGCATCTCATCACGGTCGGCAAATCTTCGGGTGGCCAGAGCTCGGGCATGTAAGCATCGGTGGCATCCTTGCGTACAATATTATGCCCATACGATTGAAAAATTAGGGATGCTGCAAATCTGTTGAAGCCCGCTCTTGCTCGAGGACAGTTCCGATGCATAGGCGCCACAACCCTCGCTGAGTATCGTGAGCATATCGAAAAAGATGGTGCACTGGAGCGCAGGTTCGCGACAGTATGTATAATTTTCTAAGATTGGTATAATAGGGATGTGCAGCATAACCCCGTTGTTACAGGTCCTAGTCAACGAGCCTACTATCGAGGAAGCAACTACCATTCTACGTGGGACCCGTGAACGTTACGAAAGCCACCATCGAGTATGGATCATGGATCAGGCTATTGTCACCGCCGTCAAACTTGCACACAGGTACTTAACTGCAAGAAGGTAGCCCTTATAATTACTACATTATTGTAGGCCATGACTAACAGAATATTAGGCTCCCAGACTCCGCCTTCGATCTCATGGACGAGGCGTGTGCTTCTGCAAGAGTCTCTCAGGATATGAAACCTGAGGCGATCGACACCGTTGAGCAAGAACTGTTGCAAATCGAAGGTCGCATCAAGGCAATTGAGGTGAAGCTTCTTTCGATCGCAGTAGCATATAGGGAGCTCATCTGGTACTCGCCATTAGCGTGACAACCATCCCGAAGACGATCGCGCTCTCGAGGAAGCAAAGAGTGTGCGCGGTAGCCTTGAGACTAGGAAGAAGCGCCTCGAAGAGCAGCAGAAACAGGTTCGGGAATGGTGGGGAGATATTAGCGCACTCAGAGGCCTGATTAAGGCCAAGAAGGACGACCTTGACATCGCCAAAAGGTCAGATTGCTTGTTTCTTCCATTATATATCATCTGCTCAGTAAATGTTCCAGGGAGAAGCGCCCAAGCGCTTCGACGATTAAGCGCCTTCAAGGAGAGCTCAATGACTTGCGTAACAGACTCACTGAGACGGAGAACCGTGGTCCGAAGGTTGCTGACAACGTGAAGGCGTTAAATACCTATGAACACCGTCGCTACACAGTTTCTAGGTCGTCGCCGGATATAATAACTCCGGAAAGCATTGCCGAAGTCGTCGAACGCGCTACCAAAATTCCTGTGCAACGGTTGCTAGCCTCAGATAAGACTCGACTTCTGGGTTTGGAAGATGCACTTGCACAACAGGTATGTCTGTCATCGGAGAGATGTTGACCTATGTCTCATCACATGCAATATGCAGGTTGTTGGCCAGCCGGAGGCGGTTAAATCAGTCACTAATGCTATCCAATTGTCTCGCACCGGTCTGAACAACGCAAATAGGCCTATTGCGTCATTGCTTTTTACGGGTCCATCCGGCACTGGGAAGACACTCCTATCTAAGGCTGTATGGCGCGATTCTACAAATGTCAGTGTCAGCACTAATGATCCATTGGCTGTAGCTGGCTCAGGAGCTGTTCGGACAAACTACTTCCATGGTTCGCATCGACGGCAGTGAATATTCTCAGAGTCATTCCATCTCCAGACTAGTATGACATCATGGATTCCCACCTGGTGTCTAGTTCGTGTGCTGAGAGTCATCTTATTCACAGATTGGTTCTCCTCCTGGATATGTGGGCTACGACCAAGGCGGTCAACTGACAGAGTATGTCAGAAGGACGCCTTACTGTATCGTATTACTTGACGAGTGAGCTCGTTTGAACACATGCATTCCATGCGGATTATCTGAGTATCTGCATCCCTTTTTCTCCACAGAATCGAGAAGACTTGTCTAGAGTTCCTGACCTTGTTCCTTCAAGTGCTCGATGAAGGTCGCCTCACTGATGGACATGGACGTCTAGTCGATTTCAGGTCAGCTAGCTCCTTAACATACCCCAGTAGGGCGCAATTGACTCACATATTACCTCTCACAGGAATTGCGTAATCATCATGACTTCGAACGTAGGAGCGGATCTTCTAAGTGCTGCAGATAATCCTATAAAGGAAGCCGTTCGTCTCAAAGTGATGGACCGCTTCAAAGATGCTCGCTTCCCTGTCGAATTTCTCAACCGTATTGACGACGTTGTGATGTTCGTGAGTGCTATTGATAGGTATAACGTGTGGAAAGTTCGGCTGTTCTGATAATTGGCAATCGTCCTCACAGTGTACAATGTCACAGGCTGTCATGAAGAGCATTTTGAAGAAGAATCTCCAAGACCTCAAGCAGCGAGAGGGGATGAAGCGGCTGCACCTTGATATCGATACCCAAGCCGAGAGCTGGTTGATCTCCGTAGGAATATCTCCCCAGTACGGGGCCCGCCCGCTTGCGCGCGTCATCCAGCGCGAGCTTCTCAACCCACTCTCGCAACGCCTGCTGGAGGGAACAGTCAAGGAAGGGGACGAAGTGCACGTCCGCCTGAACGACAAGAAGGATGGGTTATACATCCACAGGAACCATGAATTACCAGCTGACGAGCACACCGTGCCGACGTCCGATACAGTGGAAGTACCTTCGCGCCGCACTTGGAGGAAGGGTGCCAATTAATTTTAACTGCCATTTGTAGTTAGTTGTTGTCTACGTATGTCTCACACCTTATTCATTACATCACTGGGCGCCCCTGCACAGCTGGGTATAGTAGTTATGGCAACGCCTCTGACTCGACCTCAAAGCATGAAGGCTCATTCGGCTTTGACATTCTCTAGGGTAGCTCCTGCGGAAAGGGACCCAGTATCTCCCCCACGAGTTCCGATGAATTGCATGTCCGGCCCGGGCTCATTAGCGCTTACTAGGATCTACTAGCACAACATGAACCGAGATCCAAAGCATGGAGCAAAGCTAAACTACTCTGGACTGAGATCAAGGTCGTAGCGTACTAGTAATCATCATAGTGGTATGTTGTAGTGCATATCGAGAACCAGGGACTGAATAGGTAGATATTAAGTTCTTTGTTCCATGATCAGTCTAATGTTCAAGCGCACTACATCCTCTGGTCTATCGACATGTATCATGATGATGCTGGAAGGAAGGCCCACGGGTCCCGCACCCCTGTAAGTAACTTACTGCCGTCCGGAGAGTCGAGTCATCCACCTCGCATGACCCGAGACGCCATAGCCAACATGTTCTCAATCCGCTTCGCGTTGTTCAAGCTTTCACCCCACCCGGCCTGGTGGATTGCTTAAGTATGCGGTCACGGGGGCTTATAGGACGTGCATCTTGCGAGCTCCAGTAGTCTAATATTAGCCATTTTGTTCAACACCAAAATGATCCTTTGAACCATTGATGCTGGATTCATGCAACAACGTGCATCAATGGACTACGAAGAAAGTGACGGTAAAAAAGATATCAAATATCATCCTTGACTATCTAGACGTAAGGCCACCATAATCGAGAAGAATGCGGAAAATGTGTAACTATCATCGCAATATATAATTATCAAATCCCTGCCCTGACTCCTGCTTGTAGTTACCGATGAGAGCGGAGAATAATGTATCCCAACCGTTTGCGCAGTAATGCAACGCGAGCGCAAGGAGAGTCATGATGCTGGGGATGGTGATGCATACCAGAGCAAATATTCCTGCAGGGCGCGGTGCAACATTGAACTGAGCTGGTGAGTCCGTCCGAACGCCATCACTGTCCTCCCGAAATTGTAGGAAGACAATGGTCACGTTCAGCAGACATATGGCCACCGCGATTGCCGTACCGGAGACGTAAAGGAAAACGTTCAGCAACGCGCTCCATATCTTCGGGGAAGCGAAGAGGGCTTCGCGCGGCCTGGAAGCTGCCCATTTCAAGAGTGCAATCGAGACCATGGGAATAGTGAATCCGCAGTTGAATAGTGCAAATGCGTAGCACATGAGGCCAATGTTTCCTCGAGTAGCGCTAGCAAGCTCAGAGTCAGCATTCGATTTCATAATGATAAACAAGTTGTTCACACCTGAAGATTGTACTGTACGTGAGACCAGCTCCGACAAAAGAGACTTGATATAAAGCTTCGATTAGATCCTTGTGGTTCTCCAATGTTTTCTAGAGATAATAATGACGATGTTAGCGCATGTACGTCATTCGTATAGTACGCTGACCTGCGCCCAGTCGGCCAGTCCATGATAGCCTGTGTGGTCAGCAGTGGCCTGGGTTATGGCAATATATTTCATATCGACTAACTCCTTCTCCAACGCATCTAGCTAAATAGAAAGCTGAGGGAAAGGAGGATGAACGATGAGCATTTACTACATACATGAGTCCGTAAGCGTTCAGTTTCCGAGATGCCGTCACAGCAATGCCTCAATTGGTCCGGGTTACAGTCATCTTGTTTCAAGGCCATCTTACACGGTAACGCATTTAGGGCAGGCACATAGGGTGACATATGCGGTCAATACAACTTGCCTTCACGAGTGTGCGACGTTGATCACGAGCAATCTCCAGCTTGTCCCCACGTTGTGTCAGCTCATCTGCATCTCCTGGAGTTACAGGAAAGGACTAACCAGGTGTCTGCAACCCTTTATTTCGTCCTCTATTACTTTCGCCATTTTCTCACTCTTTGCCACATAGTCGCGCTGCACGAGAGTCGGCTACTGACTCGTACTAAATAGCGATATTGTTACGTACGTGCTTCACCGAGTCCTGGATTCTCAAGGAGGGCAGCAAAATGTAGGCCACACCACCTTTACATGGTAGATGAGCGCTAACCATAAGCGGAAGCCTCATCAGGGCGATGCTGACGCAACACTGACCGCAAAATCGACGTGTAGGGTTGTCGGTCCCGCGACTGATATTTTTCCAAATGTAACTTCTTACGTCCCGTTCAGTCTTGACCAACGTCATGTCATTGTAATTGAGGGTTCTCCCTCGGCGACTCTATGAATCATTACTGACATTGTAGGTCGATTGGCGACAAGCTTGTACTCACCAAACAGATGAAATACTCTATCAGAGCAAGCCCCCAGAGAGCCACAGCAAATACGGCATACGGAATCAAAAATACACAGCAGAGAACGAGAGACAGAGATCCGGTAGCTCGGGTAGCCACCCTCAGGGATCGTTCTTGCTTTGGGGATTGCAAGCTTTCCCGATCTTTCGAGGAGGATGCTGGCTGGATGTTCAATTCAACATGGTCCACAGACGACAAGAGAGAGCTCGGCCGCTGAAACGTGTCGCTGTCACTAGATTCCATGGTGTTGTCGAGTTGCTCTGAAGCTGGCTGCTGCTTTAGTATGAGATCCAGCGGCTAAGGCCGCGTGAGAATAGGAGACAGGTGAGCGATGTGGTATTTTATTGACCTGCGATAAAGAACATAGGGTAAAATGAGCCTACATGGTCAAACTCGAAGGAAGCTCCACCGTAACATGTCCGGACGAGAACGGACAGATGCCGGGCAGCATACTAGGGGTTGCGATTACAGCCGCAACATGAGGACAAGGGCAGCCGTCCAAATGGTACACAGGTCATTCAGACGTGGCTCTGCTCATGAATTCGGGAACCAACTGCCACGGCGCTGTACCAAGGCATGATGAGACGCTGTCTTCACACGTGCATGCGGCGTCCCTAGGCGCCCACGCAACCCCGAGTACCATCAGCAAAAAGGAACGCATTATGTATGGCCATGCATGTACTCGTATGGCCTTGTAAGGTCCGGCCAGCTTACGAGAGACCGCTATTGTTTTACAGTCTTGTATTGCCATGATGATAAATCAGCGGGGTGATGTAAGAGCCAAAATAGGTAGCTAGGCCCATATGACTATCGAGAGCATGCAAGGCTGGCGAGGCTAGCAGCCTACATAAGGTCATGCATGGTATAATATTATACCAACTATTGTGATACATTGCCAGACCAACTAATGATTGTATAGGCTGCATCCATAACACTAATCAATCCACTGCAATATCGGTTCGCTTCCGTGACAGACCAGTCACCCGCAGATGATCCAATCAAAATACAACTGTGGCATATTATTTATCGGGTGTAATACATTACATAGCAGGAGAAATGCACAGGTGCGAAAAAATGGTGGGCCGCTGACTACAGAGCTGCATCGATGACAGCGGGATGACGTACCTCTACGTTGGTGAACTGCCTAGTGCACAATATGTTGAAATACGAGAGATTGGAATCCTCTTCAACAGAACTGAAGTCGTATATTAAGCAACCAAGGTCAGCATAGAAGTCGCCTTAGGCTCACCTGAGCAGGGAGTTGACAGCGAGAAACTACAGGAATTATGTATCAGTTTATGTCGAAAATACGAGAGCCTCTGACACATACTTGTTACACCAGCCAATAGTCTCCTCATACTACGTAAGGTGGCCTCGAGTGCCATGCAGGAACTCGTGCACAAGTGCCGGAAGCCCTGTCAAATTGAGCACCGTGAGAGCTGTACACCAGGACAAGAACATTTTCATGCACCAAGAGGCCTCGAAGCAGGCTTTTGAGGATGTCATCCGGATCATGACTACTGTATAAGAAAATTCCGCAGATTAGACACCTACATCTTCGCTACTTTCCTGTGAGATTGCTGAAGCAAATCATCAGTTGACAATAATATGCGATTATCACGCACCGGATAGGGAACAAGTGGTCGAACTGTGAGTAGAATAGTAGCATTATTTATATGCTGCAGAAGAGCTAGAACACTAGATCCGAGGCAAGGACTGGCTGACTAACTGGCACACTGATCGAGACTGGCCTACTGTCACGATCTCGGCTTGATTGAGAATGTTTGTGCACCGCAATTTGTCTTTTTCTGTCACGGTACACCCTCTAGATTCTCTATGACAAATTCAAAGTTGCGCGAGGAGAAACGAGTGGCACTTGCGATGTCGTTAGACCCATCGCATGGTATGGCATTCTGCGCTCAAGACCCCGCAACCGCTACGCGAAGCAGCTTCACGCCCGAATAGAGATTAGACGTACACTGGTATTCAGAAACCCTCCAAATGCACTTATTGCAGAGACACTATATCAGGAGGGCTCCAGTGAGCTTCAGGTCGAGGATTCTGCCATGACCATCCAAAGGGCCGCAAGTATTTTTCGGTCTTGGGAGGACCTCACACGAATAGTCCGATCTTCCCAGTCCTCGGATGCTGAATAGCAGGCTCGCCACCTTATTGTAAGCGCTTCTATAAGTATGACCAGACTGGTAGTGTTTTATAATACTTAGACAGCAGTTTGATGTCAAATAATATCCCAGCATACTAGTGACGCCACGGGATGTCTTGCAAGGGCTAGTAATGCGCCGACCGTGACGTGCGGGTTTGCATGGGTCACGGGACCTTATTTGCTTCGTACCTTTTTGCTGATGACGACAATTGAACGTTCTTGAATACTGAACCGCAGTGAACCTAGCTTGCCGCTCTCATTTTGGAGTTCTGTGACCTGCTAGAGGTGGATGCATGCCTCCGAGAGCGCTGACGGTAGAACACTACATGGGTAATGATCGGGGAGGTCCCGGCAGCTTTCCAAACCCGACCGACCCCATAGCGGCGGGCGACATGCACCCGTCAGCACAGCACTCCTGGGATGCATATGTTGCTTATCACATCATCGCATCCGTCGCTCTCGAATGCCCCATCAGGTACACAGTGGCAGCTAGTCGACAGCCTAAAATTAGATCGGCACTTAATTTCGTGCGTATTGCGGTGTGTTGCCGCGTGTAGACGCACCTTCTGCTGTGAACCCTTTTCTCCACATACGATCAGAGCTTAAGGGAGGCCACAGGTAGGCGTGCTCTACAGGGGAGCTACAGTAACTACTTTACCGCGACTACCACAAGCAGTACAGCGCACGTTACTCATCGGGGCACCTTTGGGAAATATAGATTACCATGTCTTTCATTTAGATTCTCGGGCATCAGGTACATGGATCCTCGTATGTCACACGAGCCATGTACATCGTATCAAGAAATGAGTGGTCATGCCACTAATCGTTATTTTGACAGCCCCGTACTGAAACTATACCCTCTGATCGCCGTCGATACCCTTCACATGAGCTAGTAGAAGGCCAAGGCTCCCACTAGCAGTATATTTAGCTCTAGGAATGCTTGTCGTGTCCATGCGTTCATATCGATCATCCCCTCGTTTTCGACAGGGTACTAGGACATTTTTTCCTTTGTCATAAGTTGAAAGCTTGTAGGACGACACCAAACCACAGACGTCTGTGATTGGTCGGAAATCATTTACCAAATCCTGTATCATAAGAGCACCTCACAGACAGTAAGGCCTGTATTTCCCGCGAGTCTAGTTCCCTGGACGAGACTGCTGGCTGCAATGTGGTATACTGCTTATGTCGACGACCGGGATCAATATGGAGGTCCTGAAGCTTTAGTACTGTGCATCCACTCGAACCTAACACTGACCCGTACTCAAGGAATTGAATATATGGTTTCAACACGCAGCTGAACTGGAACCTCGAGGGCGGATGTTACGTGGTCTGGACTTTGAGCACGCATGCCGCAGAAGAATGCAGGGAATGAAACGTTGCAGGTAACCGTATTCAGATGCGCCACGCTAAGATATTGCCATGTGTATCTGTGACAAGATGAGGAGTTGATAACCTTGACAAACGAATGTTCTATCTGGCGGATTGTCAATCCTATGCAATGCAACAATGTAGAAGACCGACGCCTCACCTCATGCACGCGAATCAGAGTCACCCGGGAACAATGCAGTATGGTCTGCTCGTGTTGAAATTCTCAGCGGCTGCTGTGCCGAATTGGTGTACAGGAACGTTGCCGGCTCACTGTACCCATATTTGCGAAGGCGCGGGCTCAGCTCCGCGGGCTCGGATGCAGTTCGACAGTAGGAACTAAGCGCTGCGGAGAAGCCACGGACAAGCGTTTACGGAGCGGTAGGCCGAGACGGGGTTCTATATGTCAACAGGGTCCGCCGAAGCATTCCATCATGAGTGGTGGATACATATGGACGTACACGAGCCCGAGGCCGAAGTATTCTAGATAAGGCGGTGAATGAATGCGTTGTAGACATGTGGTGGTACTCAACCGCATGTATCGTTCATGGAAGCAGCATTTACGAGATGGCAGTGGTCTGGCCATGAACACCGGTGCCTCGTACGTCGAAGGCAGTTCCGGGACACATTAGGACGTCCTGGTCTGCAGGACCGGCTTGGCCAGGTGGCAGATTGCTTGGGCGTTGAACGTGGACACGGAGCGCAGGTGAGCCTTGCGCCTTCCATGCTGTCATGCTCTCTGGGTCCTTCCGAGTGCTATGCAACCCAGATCGTGCCGTCTTCGATTCATACCCCTTCTGAGCCATATGCCTGAACACAGGCACGTGTAACGGACCCTACTAATCTGCCACTACCAATGTGTATCCAAACTCGGAGCTGATCTCGTCACACTCAGCATTCGGCACGGCAAGCTGAGTCGTTCCGGGGTTCCCGATACGTTTGAAGGCCCACAGTTTGTTTGCGCAGTGCTCAAGCAGAAGATCAAGGCAGATGATTCGACGCAGCTATACAAGAAATAGGCTTGCTGAGACATAGTACGCTCCGAACCCCGAGTCTGAGTGTGAATTATGTAAGATAAGTCGGGCTTGGATCCCATAGAATCCCTTATGCCTATATGCCATACGGCTGACACCAAGATATTACTCACTATCATTGGTGTATCTGTTGAAAATATTGCGCAACTGTTCAGCAAGGCGAAGGATCCAAACGGAAGCCACGGAGCACGCTATCGCTCAATATCGTGTGACTTATCCTTCAGTGCGTTTGAACTAGAAAATGGTATTATCAGGCCTGATATGCTCCTAGTAGGAACATATCCACAAATCGCATCGATTAAAAGCTCTACTTACCCGCAGGTGATTCCCTGGATACCGATGGACCTGCGGACACGGTGCATCTCGTGCATCTGCGCCCAGTACCGTGAGATATCGCCATGCAGCCACTGGCCTATAGGCGGGCCGCTAGTGCCCTAAGTTGAATGTTGGCGCGCTTGGAGGGCCTCGCTGAGAACCAGGAGGCGTTTACCTACGAGATGAGCCTCGGAGCAACATTGCGACTTCTGTACGTCTGTCGCAAGGCGCTCTCGACTCTAGTAGCGGTCTCGATGAACATGTTAGATGGGAGCGTCAGATGAAGGTGTTCGAAGATGAGTGCGTCATTCAATGCTGGGAAAGCAAAGCTAACTACTGCGAAAGAAGTAGGCTAGCAGGAAGCCACGCGAGATGAGATCTATTACCCGCGCTACGTCGAGCGCTTGCTCGGGCGTCAGCTGAGACTGAACGTGTACCACAATACGTAGGACCTGGGAAGACGTTACATGTCCTGAATACTGATGGTATGTATGGTCACGTCTCAAGCTTGTGGCATACATTTGGATACTCATCAACTTCAGTTACAGTAGATCCCTAAAATCTGGCGATACTGCATTCGGTGTACTTGCCAAACGCGTTCGAGGATCTCACGAATGTCGCTTCTCGCTCGCATGAGGTCGCTGAGGCTGCACTGTAAACAAAGACGAACGCAGAGGACTGACAAGCCCGGTGATTGTGTTTCTGAGAAAAGCATCGCTGCGTTTTCTAGTCACCTACGATACTATTCATTCCTGAACGGATTGGAAGTGGACGTTGCAAGTCGAGAATTCACGATCACAGTTCATGAAAGCTCAACTACAATGTAGGATCGAGAGTGCATGTTTCCGCGTGTTTCTCAGAAAATGCCTCCTAAAAGAGCGAGGAGTCGAACGGACGAGCTCTTATGTTTGCTGCCATTCGATCCCGCGGTACGTTATAGGTAAACGGCAGCTGGATTCGCTGTCTTGCGTAACGTGAATATCCAATCACAACCAATAGATGCAGGTACGCCGTCTAAACAAGCCAGCCGTCTTGAGCTATTCACTGATTACTTTGATAGCGAAGGTGCCAGTGGGTGCGGAGTGTTCACAACAGGATTCCTACGAAGGCTGTAGCCAGAGCACACTGGTCACGCCTTTGTCATACAAGCAATACTTCTGTGTCGAAGAGCGATTTATAGTGTATTACTGCCTGTGAAAGTCCTTCCGCGCACCTCGATCGAAGACCGCCACGACGTCATAGGTTGCGATCGTCCAGAAATGGCAGGACGACGAGGACGCGTTTGACAGAAAGTCGAACATGGCGGAGGGGACGAATGAGCGTCGCTTACATACGCTGGCAGCGCGACATAAAGCCAGCCATGTTCGACTTTCCCCTCTCTCTCCAGCACCATCACCACCCCGCACCCTCTCACAATATGCTCATCCCCATTCAGCTCATTCTTACCGGTCTCCTGGCGCTCCTGGCGGCGCTGCACGGACCCGACCTGCTCGACGTGCTCGGCATCGACGTGCTCATTGATGGCGTCGTCACCGGTGTCGTCGTTGCTCGCGACCGCACGAACTATCTCGTGTATGTCATCTCTCCGTTTCCACATCCACACAAGCTAACTGCCTTTCAGTCGGACAGTTGTCGACTCCGCGGTGTCGAGCACGGTTAAGCTGCTCGACGCCCTTCCTCAGGCAACCCTCCAAGACTGTGGTCGCGTCGACGTTGTCTATGTACCGGTGTTCGTGGGCAACGTGTCAATGGACCTGGATGACATGGTCTGCCCCGCCGTCTGGGGCGTGTTCATGACGTCCGACATTGTTCTTCCCGCGGCCTCAGCATCGTCAAGCCTGCTCATTGAGGGCCGTGATGCGTCGTTCGCACCGCTCGTCAACGTTGTCAACACATCCCAGCCCTTACCGTGGACGCTCTTCACGGCGCAGCCTGCCTCGACCGTCGGCGTCTTCACGATGCCCTCCACACACCCACTCGAGGGCATCACCTTTTTTGGTCTCATCTCCGGTCTCCTAATCATGCCAGTGGTCGCTGTCGCGTTCCTCGTGAAGCACAGGGTGACATCCAAGATCCGGAAGCAGTTGAACGTCGAAGCGGGGCCTAGAGCCTCTCCGTTCAACCCAGCTATTCCGGACACACCCAAGGTAATATTTCATGAAGTTACATCAAGTATCGTACTCACGAGCCATTCAGCCTTCAAAGCCGCACACCACCACATCGGAGACCCCCGAGACTTTCTACGTCGACCTCGAGTACACCCCAGACCCTGTCGAGTTCATGTTCGTCTTCACTGACGTGTCCGACTTTCTTCTGGGACTTGTGAAGGACGTCGTCTTGCCTTCATCAATCTCGGAGGAAGACGAAACACTTGGAAACTTCAATTCTTTCTACGAGATTATGGCCGAGCTCAAACTGGTTCCATCGGTTCTCGAGGTTAGTGTTCTTGCTTGTAGCATCAAATATCATGCTGATATATATTGCCAGAGTGTCGATGCGTGTGGGCAGCAGAGTCCGGTACTCTTGTCCCCGTCGACACCCTCTAATCTTGTGGAAGACATTCAAGTGTCCTCGTCCCCAATCGTTCAAGACAATATTCCTACGACTGTCCCTAATACAACTTCCCCTGCCCCACCCGCGGCATCGTCCCCGTCGCCTCTTCTCCCCGCTTTCTCCCTCTCCCTGCTACCTGGCTCCAAGTCGCTCATTGCGCAGCCATCCACACGGTCCAGCAAGTCATGGACATGGGCAATCGATCTCTACCTGAGCATCCGCTCACAGAAGATGCAGGATAGCGAGCCAGCTCAGTCCGCATCTCCAGACCCGACGAGGTACCGTGAGATGCCGTACTGCAGGAATGGCGAACTCAAGGAAGGCATCGTCGATACGCACGTCGGATGGAACGAGCCACTCGCGTTCCCAGACGCGGCCGAGGAGAACGATCCGGTACCGCGGTCGGTGGCACGAGAGCGGCTCTACGATGTGATGCATAGCGGCGTCGCGCGCAAGACATCCGGCGCGAGCGTCGAGCCAATGCACAACCCAAGGACGCGGAGACGGAAGCGACGAAGGAAGGGCGACGCACCCAATGTCACAGAATCGAGCGGAGCGACAGCTGATAGTGAGGCGCTTACTACGTCTGCGTCTGCCCCAGAGGCCGCACAGGTACGTGTTTGTTCTTTATCGTGCTGGACGGACGACGCTGATTCAACCGTGGTCAGCCCGTTGCGCGAGTGCCTCTCCGGCAGAGGCCCCTCATCGCGCGCGCTGGACTCGCTGCGATCCGAGGCGTACTGGTGCCTTCGCCTCGCCGTCCCAGAGCATCGGTGAGCCCTCATGATTGTGTTCGTGTGTCCACTATATCAACTTTGTACAGGCTGTCGCTCCCGTCTCTCCCGTCGCCCCTCCCCCGCCTCCGCCAAGGATCACATCGATTGTGGTCCACAATGCAATCCCATCCTCACAGCCTGGTCTGCTTCCTCCTAGATCCCCCATCCTCCCTCCTTCTGACGACCCCTGGAAACCCTTAATCCGCTCCGACGAGTCCTCCTCCCCCTCCGCTGCCTCCTCCAAACTGCCTACACCTCGTGTCCGTGTGCCGCCTCCCTCTCATGAACCTCCCAACACACCTCGTGGACCTGCTATGACTGTGGAGCAATCTCTGTTTAATGTGCCTGTCCGCGTCGTTTCTGGCAAGCGAGGCAAGGGCAAGCAAGTGTCCCAGCCAATGGTGTTCCACGATGCGCTCGACTCGCTTCAGGAACTTCCCAAAGAATCCATCGCCCCTGCCACCATGTAATGAATCATCACCTCTCTAAATGATCTTCGTCCGCCCTCACCTCGCGCCCAATTCCCTCAACGCAAACTTCTCGACCCGAATCTCTTCAAGATCTCATTTTGAAACGCCCTCCTCCAGGTTGATTCCCCCAGTCGTCAATATCCCGCGTCACATATCCTTAGAGTCCTGGATCATCTTATACCCATCTCATGGCTCAAACTTCCATAATGTTTAGTATACATATTACATATCTGTATCGTGTTCCAGGTACCACTGAGCCTCATTGTATTGCGTCCTTCGTGTCTCATTCCAGACTAGTCCGTCTTCGGTATATCTGACGCGCTTCACATGTAACAATTGTACTCGAACGTCTTCAATGTCTTAATTGGCCTGCAATGTATGTCGATCTTGTCCGTACGCTCCCGCGGTCACCAAAACGACGGAATGTGGTCTTGTGGCTGCTCCAATGGATTAGTATGTACTCAGGTGCGGCGTCGATGATATGCGCGTGACAAATGTGGGTCCATGTTGACAAGTTACGAGCAAGCGCGCTTATTGATAGGATCTTTCGAACTTATTGTTGAGGCTTCATGACACTCCCTATTCATGTCGAACCTAAACAACATCCCTTCCAATGGCATGAGTGAGATAGGTGTCACAACCTCTATCAGACTGACTCCTTCCGTATTGCCATGGGGAGGATCTACGACCTTCGAGGACTCCACATTCTTCACACGACCGAATGTTGATACTTCACCACGCCGCTTTTTCACTCCTGCCGCCGTACGTGCAGCAGCGGTAGAGAATTATGGGGATCGGTTGTACCTTCCACGCCCACCTCCTATACGCTATCCTGACCTGGGCCTCATAGTCAAGTTTGGGCTCGAGATCACCATAGCGGAAGGCCAATGCCTTTGGGCGATGAAGCACCTACTCGAGGAGAAGGTACCAGTCCCAGAAGTATACGGGTGGTGCAAGGACGGCAAAGATGTATTCATCTACATGGAATTGGTGGATGGGGTGACTCTAGAAGACCGGTGGGACAGTCTCTCCACCGAGGAGAGAATCGAGATTTGCAAGCAGCTTGACGGCATGATGAAGTCGCTGCGATTGCTGGAGCAAGATCCCGATGTCAGGTTTATAGGTACGCCGCTCGCCTTCGCCCTGGTACGGCGCCCGCCACATCGTGACTCTCATGCGGCATAAATACAGGCCACATCGGACGCCAGCCGCTACAAGATGTCATCTTCGAATGCTCCCCTGTCGTTCCTGGTCCTTTCCCTACTGTGAAGGCCTACCACGATTTCTTCGCCTTCTCAACTGAAACACCGCATCCGTATCGCCACTTCCTCCCAGACGATCTCCCCACCACGTTTACTCACGGAGACCTGCACAGAAGCAACATCATCGTGTCGCCGATTGATGCTGAAGGGCAGCCACGAGTCCTTGCGATTATCGACTGGCACCAGTCTGGGTGGCTCCCCAACTATTGGGAGTTCTCGAAGGCGCGATGGTGCGTAGCGATTGGTGAAGAGTGGGAGGCCGAGTATCTGCCGCGCTTTGTGGAGCCATGCGAATGGTGGGACTATTGGAGATACTTTATATTGACCCGAGGAATGTAAGATTCACGGGGTTCTGTCATACTTCTTCACGAGATTACGGGCATGAGCCTTGTCCACAGCATAGCAAACAGTGTCTTCTTCCGCAGCCTATTTTCCTAAATCACAAGTCAATCCTTGTTCCTCGACACTGTCCGAACGTACTCAGCCTCGCTCTCTAGCTCACGACTCGCAATGCTCGTGTCCCATCGCGCGTCCAACAGTGCCTGGCATTGGAAAACATCACAGGGGAGCTGGACAGTACATATCGGAGCATACCTCGAGCATCGTCTCCTCCCACTAGAAGCACTCTTCCGCATCCTTGCCAGTGCGGTCGATCATCTTACTGCGCGCTTCAAGCTCCAGCGCGTCGCGTTGAGTAGTGCGCTCTCTTTCTGTGTAAATTTGTGTCTTGAGACGTTGGCTAGTCTAATGATGGACACGCCCCGACACTGACGACGGCAGCCATGACTTGAATGCACCGCTACCACGCGTAGAAAACACGGAGAAACGCACACCCTGCCAGAACAGTGACACAAGCAGCGACAAGCCCAGAAGAACAGACGGTACACAGATGATCCCGAGAGCTGACGACGAAGTCGTCCCAGGTAGGAGACCTATGCGCTGAAGGAGGGGATGCGCGGCGAAGAGCGGGCCGCGCGAGAAGCACGGATGCGATGGCAGAGAGGATGAGGGCGAAGACAACTCCAGCGAGCATCCATGGCCCAGGGAGCGACAGGCGGATGCCCTTCGCCCGCTTGGGCTCGTCAAGCCCAAGGTTTACCGAAAGCCCAGATCGCATAGTAGAATTCATGTCTGCATGACCGGTCCTTTAAAATTAAATGAAAATTCGTGTATGAGGTGCCCCAATGTGTGGTTCGCAGAAGCTCTTTGAAAGTCCTTGCCTCTCAAGTACCTGAAGGTGAACTCGAGCATCACCGCTTGTCAATCGGCTCACTCAGACAGTGATACGGTGAGACTTGTTAGACTTGTATCCAGACTTCGCATAAGGAACATACGTGACCAAGCGTATGAGATTTACGAGAAGTAGCCGTCATTTTGGCAAGTTTTGAGTAGCACATGGTGATCGCCTCGATGGGTCGAGTCGAAGAACAGTGAGCCTGAGGGTGACACAACCAGACGCGTCCTGTCATGCATCGTGATGCAGTCAACGCGTCTGTCACGCGGTCGATCAAGATCCTACAGAAGCCAATTAGGGAATTCTTACTCTTGCACTCAGCACTGCAGACGCAATGTCTGAAGCAAAGCGCAAATCGGATGGAAGAGACAAGGAAAGACGGAGATACCGTGCAGTAGGTCTCATCATATAAGTAGCCTACCATGGCGCACTCATCATGATCATCTCAGGATGGTACGCCCATCAGGGGACAGGGACATATGGACGGGCCTGGCATATGGGCTACGTGCGTCAAGGGCAAGGAGAAGCAGACTGTCGGAGAGTTATATGATCTATTTGAGAATGTGAGTATGCATTTTGGACACCGATGACTTGTGCTCATCATCCACATATTAGCTTGCTTCTGAGCTTTGGCCAGCCGACTCGACAGGTTCCCAGAATCAAGCAGAAGGCTCTCGTAGTGAGGAGGAAGATGATGGGGACATCGAGAAAGCGATTGCAAAGGAGGTTGCTTCGATGAAACGACCAAGGAAAGAGCAAAGGTTCGGTATGTTCTTGCACATCCTGTCCTGACCGTGTTTGACGATGTCGCAGCCAACTGCCAGACTAACACACCGTGTGGTATGTTCAGGATCATCTGAATCGCATGTCTGTATGCTGACAACTCTCCTAGTCATCTTCATCTCCTGCAAGCCTCCTGTCGATCCCGTTCGCCTGGTCGTGAAGCATGTGCAGAACGTCTTTGATACTGGTGTAACGCATACAAGGCAAGCCTGCTGTCCTCGACGTTAATCATATTGTATCTGACGCGGTAGATTGACCCCAACAGGCATACGCAACGCCTTACACCTGTATCGGGTACGTGTGTCGCAAATATTTCTGAGGTCGTATCCCTGTGCGGCCGCGTGGTCAAGCCGTTCTTCGAAGCCGACTCTGACAATTCGTATCGCGTATGTACTACTTTACCGCGTCTGTCGTGTTGGAAGGCTTTGTGTCTGACGCGCATGTGGGAACCACAGTACAAAATTGAGCTGAGGATGCGCAACCATAACACCATGTCGCGTAACAACCTCATTCAGGAGATCGCGAAATCCGTTCACGAAAGGCACAAGGTTGACCTCGAGAATCCTGAGGTGTTCATCCTGGTCGAGGTTTTCAAGGTCTGTACCTGCTAATGTATGTCCTCGCTGCAGCTGATGTTATTATGTACAGAGTATCTGTGGGGTCAGTGTTGTGACAGACTACTACAAACTGCACAAGTTTAACGTCATGGAGATCGCAAACGCAAAGAACGCGGGTGACGAGATAGAAGGGCGTGTGGCAGAAAAGGTGGACCAGGCTCAGGGCGAATCAAAGTAGTGAGTTGAGAGGCTGTATCAGATTGTAGCGATAGCATCTGCGCTTAGAGTCACTATGCCAATCCCGCGCGACATGGACTATGCACCACTGCGGCGTAAGTAGTGAGAGAATTCGCAACACGCGCAGTCATCGTGCACGATAGCGATGCCCGCGCTGAGCGACAAGAGTGATCGCGCCGATCGCGGTCATCGTCACTTGAATCCCTTTTCATACCTTGCTGAGCACTGCGCTTGCGCGACCAGCAGCAAAGACGCGTTCTGTTCCCCTGCCGCGTGCGTAGTCGCCATCTCAGCCAGCAGCGACCCTTCGGACTCGAACAACGCGACACAATCGGCTCCGACTGATCCCCTCTTCTGCCACACCATCTACCCATCCCTCTCTCGAACCAAAGCACACCATGGGCGACCTCGTCGACTCCATGCTCGACCTCATGCGGCGGCTGCCGCCTACGCAAGTCGAGGAGAACGTCGCCTCGCTCGTCGCCATGTGTCCGGACTACGCGGACGACCTCCTCGGCAGCGTCGACCAGCCGCTGAAAGTGTTGACAGACCGCGCGACAGGGCGCGAGTACCTCGCATGTGATTACAACCGCGATGGGGAGAGCTACCGGTGAGTGCGTATTCCGTGCAGCGTGCTGTATATACGGTGCGTGCAAGGATCACCACGACTGCACGCAACGCCACTATGGGGTAGGCGCCGCCGGTGCTCACAGCCTGTCTTCGCTCCGTAGTTCACCATGGTCAAATGAGTACGACCCGCCACTAGAAGACGGCACCGTGCCTTCTCTGAAGCTACGCAAACTCGAGATCACCGCCAACGAGGCGTTCGACACCTACCGCGAGATGTACGTGTTCACAATCGATCCATTGGCTTTTTATACACACGGTGCACGCGCAGGTACTACGAAGGCGGCGTCTCTTCCGTATTTCTGTGGGACCTCGATGACGGCGGCTTCGCGGGCGTCGTGCTCCTCAAGAAAGGTGCGCCGTGCGCCCGCCGCTCTGCCCCATGCGCTCACACCGCCACCCCTTCCCCCTCGTCTAGTACTGAATGCCACTGCACCCGGCGAGCCCTCCGGCTCCTGGGACTCCATCCACGTCTTCGAGGCCGCGGAGCGCGGGCGCCAGGCGCACTACAAGCTCACCTCGACGGTTATGCTGCAGATGACCGACCGCGCGGTCGCCTCCGGCGCGGGCGCGAAGGACAAGGAGAAGGAGGGGCACGAGGGCGAGAAGCGCGCGGGCGAGGTCGTGCTCAGCGGGAGCATGACGCGGCAGGTGCGTCCCCGCGCCAGAGAGCGCCAGCAGCCGCGACGCTGACCGTGCGCCAGAGCGAGGCGGACTTCCCGCTGCAGGACCAGACGTCGCACATCTCGAACACGGGGCGCATGGTCGAGGAGATGGAGATCAAGATGCGGAACCAGCTGCAGGAGGTGCGTCACATATACATATACTATATACTGCGCGCGCCCTGGTGCCTGCACCCTCGTTTCTTCGTTCCCGTGGAACCCCGCCAATTTGTGCTGATCACGGCTGAACGCGCGTTGGCGTCGCAGGTGTACTTTGGCAAGACGCGCGACATTGTGTTCGACCTGCGCAGCATCGATGACCTGGAGAAGGCACGACGGCAGAGGGAACTGCAGAAAGAGTTGGTCGGGTTCATAAAGCGGTGACCCCTGCCAATCCCGTGGGCGTGCGCAGTGCAAACGTTAGCTGCCACAAGGAAGGGCGGTCTCGGGGGGCCGGATAAACACGAATCGGGAGAAGTGCTAGCTTGTGTATACTTCGCACGGACAAGGGAATTTCTACCTCCACATCATTTCACGGACTGCTATGAAGTTTCACGTCTGTGCAGCATGGACAAGGTAGAGCACCTGACTGTCGAATAAAAGCTCGACGTGGATGGTTTGGGTCGGTACTAACGTTACAGAAAGCCGAGTGAGGTGAAGCAAGTATATCTTCTGTACCCTCCGTGTCTGCTCAAACGGTCTCCCGCGGCACAGCAAGAGCGTCAGGAAACGAGGCCACCTCGCACGATGTCAAAGGTTAACCTTACACGTATCTAGAAAAGTCAAAACCTCGGTGACACTCATGCGCATCGTTACCAGATTATACTGGGCAGAAGGTCATATCATGATGCTTGTACGGCACCGGATTCCTTTACGTCTAATAAAACGTCCAGAAAGCTACAGTAGTAGGGCATCAATCGTGGCAAGAAACGCAAAACAAACAATAAGTACAAGGCCCAAGTACGACAGATGAGGCCAATGAGGTAGGTTTGGGAATACAGCCGTGAACGTGGGACAGACATCATGATGAGAATGAAATCGAAGGCGGTGCAGAAGATCATGCTACGTAAAACAACAACGCGGTGCGCGCGTCCGGCGGTGCATCCGCCGGACAGGCAGGTTCGCGCGGGGATATCGGGGTGGATGTGCAATTTGAAGAACAATAAAGACAATTAGAAGACAAGGCAGTCCGAAAGCGTGTGTGGTGTAGTGTATGCGCGGGAGGCGACGTGATGAGATGGAGACCAACAGGTAGTAGGATGTCCACAGGAATCAGACGAGCGCCGCGGACTTGAGGTAATCACGGAAGATCGAATCTCGTACGTTCGAGATGATGCTCTGCATCGCCTTGGTATCCTACAGGGTAAAAGAACAGTCAAGCTCCTTGAGCAAACGAGCAACAAGCGGAGACGTACCACGACGCTCGTCAGATGGGTATATAAGACCCGCTTGTTCTCATTGTTCTTCGTGTGCACTTGCGTGAAGTGTGCCTTGAAGTAGGAAACGACCGATTCGACCTCGTTTGGCCGCTCGCCGTACGATGTAATGCTACAAACACGATAAGGGTAGAGGGCGACTGTATGCACGCAATACGTACTATTTGTTTACTTTAACGCCTTTGGCCAGCTTACTTGCCAGCACGTCGGCCTTGTCTACGTACGCAAGATTAGGAATGAAGCGCAGAGCAACCATAGAACAGTACACACTAAGGAAGAGGACTAGATGCGCGTTCTTGAGCAGTGGGTTGGAGCATATTTGCTTGAATAGTTGCAGTGAGTCATCCACCCTGTTCACTCGTGGATCCTCCGCCAAATACTAGTAACACAATGAGCATGACGCGATCGGCTATGGTTAATCATGCTGACCTGATCAAATGCGCTAACAGGGGCCAAGAATATGATGGCGGTGCTAGTCAGATCTGTTAGCAGCAAGTCTGATACGACTGGGAAATGCCTCTTACGCGTCATCGAAATACGGAATCCAAGTATGTCTCTGACCCCGAGCTCCACCCACGTCGTATAGATGCCAAGTAACTGGCCGACCGTGCAACGGGACTTCAAAAATATGTTCAGCAACACCCATAGTTTGAATCCTGGCATGCAGAATGTCGTCTGCAAGCAATCAGACGGGAACACGGAAGCCAATGAAACGACATACCGATGGTTGGAGAGTAGTTTGACTGAGAAACGCGCTCAATGTTGTTGAGGAAACTGATGAACTATTAATCATATGCGTCCGCGGGGAAGATATAGACTCACTATTCAGCCCACTCATCTAAGCGAAGTTTGCGATTGTCTCTCAGCCGCTTCACTGCTGGATGCTGCCACAGCTCTCGGATGTCGTCCTGACACGAATGGATGATCGTCGCAGCCTCATCGACTAGCTTGTCCTTTTCCACCTCTGGGAGCTCCGTGCTCAGTTCCCCCTCCTCTGGATCACCAATGCTCGCGTCTGCTGAGTTTTCCAGAGCGCTGCGTTGACCGGTGAAGCTGAAGCGCCCGCGCCCGCTGTTCGCGCGCTCCCGTGCCTTGCCAAATGAGAGCCCGAAGGTCCGTGATTGCCATCCCGACCGAACGAAAACACTGCCCTTGCCCGAACCGGAAACGGCGACACCCCCAGAGAGACGGTCGGCGAGCTGGGAGTCAAGCGCCGTAAGAGGGGAGAGACGTAAGCGGAGAAGCGAGATCTGTTGGTCCATCGAGGGCGATGGCGATGGTGGAGGGCGCGGTGCCTGGTTGCCCTGACTCGTTGCGGGCGCATTGCCGAGTACGCCGCTCTTTGGCGAGCCAGACGTCTTCTCGGTGGTGGTGTCGTCGTCCGAGTCTGCCTCTGCGAACAGATCGAGAGATTCTAAGATGCGCAGCACGGGGCGGACGATGTTGTAGTAGATGACGACGCGCCAGGAGAGGCGCTCTTCCTCCAGAGACGTCGGGTTATAGATGAGTTGAAACTGCTTCTGGAGCGTCGACTTGCCGGATTCGGCCTGGCCGAGGAGGAGGAGCTGGAGGTAGGGAGGGCATCAGAGATCAGTCCACCTTCGCAGTCAAAATTTGCGCCAGGGGAAAATGCGCATTGAGGGACAGGACACTGGCAACGGAAGAGACGTGGGCCCGGGAAGCAACCAAGACACACCTTGACATCCTGCTTGCTCTTCTTGTACCGTTCCCGGTCGAGCTTGAGCTCCTCGTCGATGCTGTCGCTGATCCTCTTCGCGTCGGCCTCTCGCTGGAGTCGCAGGACGCGGTCGCGTTCGGTCTCGCTCGTGGGAGGACGGAGGATGAGAGAGAGCGGGTCGCCGGGGTCGGTTGTGCTGTGGACGGAGGGCGGCCTGGAAGTGCGGATCATGGTGGGGGACAGGAGGGGGACGGCGGTGGTTGCTGGGAAAGGACGGGCGAGTGATGCGGGGCCCTTTTGAGGCTGCGAATGCTGATCCTCAGCTGCAGCCTTCTGCCCCGACCGCTATGATGTTATGATAGAAGCCGCTCCTTTGGGACACTCGGCGTGGCCCCGGCCTGCGCCCCTGCCAATAACCTCCGAGGCACGTGCCCACCGGCGCCGCTGCCCGGCCCTCGTTTGCTTCCGCTTCGCGCAGAACAGTCGCCTGCTCCGAGTAGATAGCTGCTCGCGCGACACCCGTACAACCTATCGCAAACATGGTACGTTCACCCGTGCGCCCTCTCGCCCCCGCCCTGATCCACTCTAGTCAGTTACCCTTCATACAACGCATGGAGACATCAAGGCATGTGTTTCGCCCGCATGCTCCCCTGATGTCCCGCTCACCGCCTGCATTGTGCAGATCGAAGTCTTCTGCGAGGCGGTGCCGAAGACCGCAGAGGTGCGCAGCCCTCGGGGCCGTCTGTCCCGCACCACAGACCCCCTAACCGCGCGCGCAGAACTTCCTAGCGCTGTGTGCGTCCAACTACTATGACGGCTGTCTGTGGCACCGGAACATCAAGGGCTTCATGATCCAGACGGGCGATCCCACTGGCACCGGCAAGGGTGGGCAGAGCATATGGGGCCAACCCTATGCCGATGAGTTACGTTCGACGCTCAAGGTGCGTTGCCCGCCGCTCCGGGGGCGGGTTTGATTGGCTGGGATTCGGTTTGATGCCAAGGTGGCCGCCTGCGATACAGCGCAGGGCCGGCCACAGCGTCCGCTGTGGCCGGCGCGCTGATTTCGCAGAGAAAGGGTGGTTACCCGCGTGAGGCCGCCCATGCTCGGTCGAGAGTCGATTGAGCCCAGCCAATTGAGTCATATCTTCTGACGCTGTACCGTCGGACGCCGACACTGACATTCACGTCGCCGCAGTTCAACAATCGTGGCATCGTCGCCATGGCGAACTCTGGCCCGGACACGAACAAGTCCCAGTTCTTCATCACATACGCCAAACAGCCGCACCTCGATGGCAAGTACACTATCTTCGGCAAGGTGCGCTTCTCCCGATAGCCAACCGCAGAGACGCTCAGCTGATCCCGCCATCAATTAAGGTCATCGACGGTGCGGAGTCCACGCTGGACACCATGGAGCGCGCACCCGTGAACCCGAAAAACAGACCGCTGACGGAGATTAAGCTGACGCATGTGCGTAGTTGTTTGTTTTCTGTGGTTTCGGGCGCCCCGGGTGTCTTTGATCCACGGGCACCGCCCCAAGATGGCCACCGAAGTCGAAGCGTCTGTTCGTTTCCCGCAGCCGAACACGCAATACGTGCTTTTCCTATCTCTTAGCCTTTATCCTCCTGGACTGGGAGGAGCCGAGCAGATCTTCGACGCCATGGCTTCTATGAATCCTGGAATCTTCGCTGACCGTCTGCTTCCCGCAGGTAACGATACACGCGAATCCTATTGCGGACGCAGAGCTTGCTGGCCGATGACAGTACTCGAACGTTAGCGCATCATTTGCTGTGTATTGCTGTGTCCCGGCAATGTAACTTAAGAGAACATGTATTGCATGTATGTATGACGTCACCATCATTTGCGTGTGGTTGTGCAACAGCGCTAAGAGAGCATCTCAGGCTGTGGGGTTTCCACAGGCAGTACACACCGGAAAGATACGCTGATAAATTGGACGCGATCTCATACTTGTCAGACAATCGTTAGCCGGACCCTATATACTATGACGGCAATATTCAAAAGGTTACTCATGTGCATGAAGAGAAGGGAGCACCCATGGTCAGCTCGATTGATTACACATGAAAGCATGCTGGCAGTACTGGTAAGTAACGACCGTGGGAGGCATGCCGGAAAGCGAGACCGGCGGGACAACGCGCGAGACATTTACTACCACTTGTCATCCTTATAAGTGTATTGACCCTATTATTCATCGAAGCCATGTTCCGCACCAAAACGCCTTGATACCCTGTCCTGTTTCTACATCACCAGGAACTCCTCTCAGACTATACCTGTGCACGACCGTCTCGGGAGCAAAAGCTCATAGTACGCGCATTTTCTCCAACTCGGGTCACCTCTTCCCGTAAACTGTATAATTGATTGTATTGGTGAGCTAAGTTGGGGGCAGTATCCGGCGTACTCTGCCGTATAGAGTCGGGAAGCAAACGCTAAACTTGCAGTAGCCATATAGAAGAATAGAGAATTTACAACGAGACCCATGAACAGTGACTCAAGATGTCGTGTGAGTGTATCATAGTACAGAACTGAATCTGCTCCTGACTGAAGGCTCGCTGGGATCAGATTACTTTACAAACGTCGCTGGATAATGATAAACGATTACACTTGCTCTAGGCGTAGACGCGTAGTCTCCGTGAACTCCGATGCACAGGAAAGCTCGTGCTTGGAGGACTTGTAGCTGTGAAGTTACGCTACAGACGTCGCCGACGCCTTGGTGGGGGGCCCACGAATAGAATGACTACGCCCAGTGAGAGCCTTTCCAGCTGTATCATTATTAGAAAGTGCGTTTCCACTTCCGGACGCTTGTCCGATCGATCGCAGTTTGGCAGGTTGCCGACCAATGAAAGGCCAGCGCCTTTTTGAGTAAGTTGACTTTCCTCTCCGCATACACCGTGACGAAGTTCAAATCCCTCTCTCTTGCGCACCAGTCACCACACGCTCATTATATCGACTTTTACTTATTTCTTAACACATTATATTGGGGAACATCACCCCAGTCTAGCCTACGTTCTTTTCGTTCCTTGTCTCGACGTCCTCCTGAGCAACCATACACGGTTTCGGTCTCGCATACAGTCACCCTAAACCTCTATCATTCTTGAAATTTCTGGTCGGTGTCTGGCTCCATACTCGGAAATGCAGTCGGCGCGTTTCTCATCTGTGGGTGAATGCGCATTCTACTATACAATATGTGCTAACGCCATTTCGACAGATGTTGGATCCCAGCGGACGCAAGTGTCTCTGGAGTAATATATCTGGGCTAGCAGGCTACGGCAGGGCGACGACGTTTACCGCTCGCGTCATTCCTCAGGCCACCAATTTTGTAGCACAACTACTCGTGCTTGGTCGACTCTTCCGCAATCGCTTCCTGCCCCGAGACTCCGTCAACATCCCTCTGTATTCTGCCTACAGCGTTGCGGCGGCAGTCGTCATGTGCTTCGCGCTTTGGGCATGCAAAATATGGATTTGCCGATATTTTGCAACACGGCAAAACTTTGCCTCACCTGGGCCATGTCTAATATCGGTGGGTGTCTTCTGTGGTGGTCATCTCGCCAGGTGTCCTGACAAGTAGCAGTCGGGCGACGATCCCAGCTTGCACAGCCGTGCAAATCTTTTGTGCTCGTCAGACGCTGAGATAGATGAAGACGCCAATGATGACAAGGGCGCCTTCGTCGGCTCTCGTCCCACCTGCTCTCCAAGTATCGTATGGACCTACACTTCCGGTACATCGATAGGCTTCGTGAGCGCGGAGGCATCAGGGTCTGGTCTCAGCATTGAGGAAAAGCGCGACGCAGTTTTGTGCGGGGGTATGCTTGACACAAGGTTGGACAACACGGTCGATAACCCTGGCGAACGAAGTTCTGGCGGCTCGGCGCAAGACTGCATCGCAGAGGTGGCCACTGATACGCAGACTATATCGCGTCAAGGATCTCTAGATTCTGTAACAGGCGAGATGAAGCGCACCAACGACCATTTGGAAGCACTTGATGTTGTCGTCGATGATCTGACTCGGGAGCTTGCGGCTACACGCCGAGAGACTGCTCAGGCCCACAAGAGCTCGGCCATAGCCCAGAAAGACATTCACAACGTGTCTCGACGGATGCACCAGCTCGAAGCAAACATCACTACTCTTGACCGCGCTCACAAGGTGGCCGAGGAGGGCTTCCGCAGAGAGAAAACGGCACTTGAGGCACGCATTCATCCTCGTGTTCCACCTGTACCTCTGCTCACAATACTTCTCAGATCTCACTGAGCAGGCTGGCTCGTGACGCTGATGCTGCGATCAGTAATCTGGGAAATGCGCTTTTCTATGCCCGGGAGGAATCGACGCACAGGGGTCAGCTTGCAGAAAAGCTTCAGAAGCGCATGGAGCACATTGAAAGTAAACATCAGCGCATGTTTCAGCATCTGCAGCACGAGAAGCAGTCGATTGAGGTATGTCGTCGTGCCTTCAACTGTGATTCCTGGTCCCATTTCCTTTCTTAGAATGCGCTGAAGCGCGTACACGCGGAGCTAGCGGCGAATGCATCTGCAGTGTCGAAGCAAGGGTCTGTCATCGAGAAGCTTGGCGCAGAAATCACTCGTGTCAAGGTCAGTACATCGGCGCCTCTCAGCTGTTACATGCTGATGTGACGCTGCCAGAGCGAGCGCGATGCTGAACAGTTCGAACGCTCGCTGCGTATCAAGATGCTTCAGAAAGAGCTCGATGAAAAGACCTCTGAAATAAATCTTAGCCGGGTCGCCCTCGACTTTGTCGATCAGGAGCTCACTGAGGTCAACAGGTGTTACGCGGAGCTGAAGTATACCCGGGGCCAGGAAGGGACGGTTGATGGAGCTCGTGAGACGGCCCTGTGTCAGGCCGAGACACGCATCGAGGCCTTGGAATCCGCTCGGCGTTCAGTGTCCCTGAGGATTCTCGCGCTTACGCTGTCACGCGAGGAACTACTAGAGCAGTTGGGTGTCCTAGAGAGCCGGAGGACTTCTGGCGCATGGGACTACACCGCACTCCGGAAACGCGTGTCCACGGATTAGCCAGCTCGAGAGTTTCCTTGGCTAACAAGGTCACAATCTCTTCATGACAACGACGAACGGGTGTTGACTCAGAAATTCAGTCTGCACTCCTACCACCGGTCGCCTATATTCACCTCCAAGAATCCTCCTATCACCCTATAGTCAACTATTCCTGATTTAGCGGGCGCCGAGTCGTAACGGGCTGGCTATGTGCGTAATCTTTTGTTTCCTACCATGTGTACCTCATGTGTACCTATATCCACGACTCACTCTAGATTGCTTGCGACAGAGTGGTACTTCCTGTTCCGCTTCTAAACCCCGGAGGAATATCATCATTGCTACCTTCCCTATTTGACTCTATATCGGGTCGCCTCCAGTTGTTTTGTATTACGAATCAAGCCACCTTGTAGACACAAATACCTCTGAATAGTCCCTGCCAGCGTAGAGCACATGTATACGCAGATTAGCACGATATCCTCGGAAATATATACGCTAAAGCACTAGGACGCGAACGGATGAGAGCACTAAATTCCGTTTGTGGTTCGGTAAGCGTGTCAATGGCTACAAGTCCTAATGCCAGGTAGCGTCAGGGAGATCTTCATTTTACTGATGATGCTTATGGTGTCCTATTGTTCAGCCACAAGTGGATGAATATCATAAGTGAGAAGAGTGTTCTCTTCTTCACGAGAATAAGCAAGAGTTAGCGCACGATGAGTTTCGAATGCAAGGGGGAAGAGTTCGCAATCGAGAAGTCGAAGACTTGTGATCTGCGAACTTTTCATAAGCAAGTACGGGCCATAATCATCAAGTCAGTAGATTTTACACTGATCGAGTTATGTCGGTGTCAGCCTGAAGGAAGCGGCGCGTCGATCACAATAGCACGAGGCTACCGGTCGGGCGTCGCAGCGCTTGCCCGTCAATATTTCTGACGGATGCACTAGTTGCACGAGAAGTTCACACCTGTCGAACGTACAGTGCATAGTTGTCCCCTAGTGCCGATGTTTGGACGGATGGCCAACTCAAAATGGGCGTGTGACAGCTGTTGGAACTTGAGATAGTGGGTTATGGCGAGCGCATGCCACCATATTTGGCATTGTTTGTAGTAGCGTCTCCGAAGTTCGGTTTAGCTCGGTTCAGGGGCCTCTTGCCCTGAACCTTGAACCGAACCTACATACCACTGGTCTGAACCGGTCTGAACCTTGGACCGAACCCGCTGAACGGGTTCGGCAGGTTCGGAGCAGGTTCGAACCTGGTGAACCTTCAGATCTCAAATGGTCATACAAAAGATGTTAATTTTGAATTTTGGGGTCATACTTTCAGTATAACACATTATCAAACAAGGGACTCCGCATTTGAGAAGGATATGCAAGGTGCAACACTGTCATAGTTGTTGCATTCACCAATGCCAGCTTATGTAAGCTTGCCTATTTCGGCAGATGACGGCATCCCCCGATGGCAGGCAGGGTATGCATCACAACACTGTTCAGGGAGCAGTGTGCACTGGCCCCATGGAAAGATCGAGATGTTGTCTGTCGATTAGAGTAATGTAAACTAGTATTTCAAACTTAATTAAGTACTTTTTTGTGATCATCGAGACTTGATTCCGGTTCATGGTTCAAACTGGTCCTTGATGGCTCTGAACCTTGAACCGAACCTTTGGGGAAATCTGTGGACCGAGCTTAACTGAACCTGAACTGCAGGTTCGGTTCAAGGTTTGGATGGTCCAAACCCGTTCTTGGACTGAACTTCAGAGACGCTAGTTTGTAGTACCTCACAGACTTTATGTGAGTCACTCTGTACTTATGTTCCTGACGTGTTTGACAGAGATCTCCGTCAATCTTTCTCGCTTCTGGTCTCAGACGAACTTTTACAAAAGGTAAGTGAAGGACACAGTCTAATCCGTACATAAACAAGGCATTTGTCAGATATCTGGGGCTTTAGTGATCACTGGCTCCTTCAATATTACCAACCACTTCCGCATCACCTGTGGTTTTGAGCTCACCCACGGCTTTGGCTTCACTGACAGCCTCAACATCAACCTTGCTGATGGTTTCCAAATCTTGAGCCACCTCCGCACCTTGAGCTGCCTCCACACTTTGAGCTGCCTCCACACCTTGAGCTGCCTCCGCACCTTGAACCACCTCCGAATCTTGAGCTGCCTCAAGATTTAGAGGCGGCTCTAAATCTTGAGTCACCTCTAAATCTTGAGCCACTTCTGAGTTGAGATTCAACAGTTTGAACCCATCTGGAAGGGTGTTCGGACCGTCTGGTTTGGCCACTAGCGACCTGAGCAAGGCTGCTAATTTGTCCAGTTGCACAGCTGAAGGAACATTATCAACAGGGCAATCAAAAAGAAGCATGTGACTTACACAATGCGTGCCTTATATTTTGGTAAGGGCTGGAGGCCACCAGCCCCCCTTCCGTATCTCCTAGTCGAATCGCCTCGGTAGTACTCTGTTCAAATGTCAGCCACTCAATGTGTTATCTGATTAAAATACTTCACACCAGTAAGTTACAATGTAAAGTGGTGATTTCTTGTGCCATGGTGAGAATTTTGGACTTCAGAGGGTTGATAGATTCTGGCCATGGAGGTCCATATCACCGCATGCAGGAATCAATTTTCTTGCACAAAAAACCGAATCAAAATTGAATTAAAAGTGAATAGCACCTATTGAATGTTATTGATGTAGAAATTGGATACAAATTGAATGAAGATTGAAGAAAAATTGAAAGAGACAATGGAAAATGGATTACATAATCGATTTTTCTTCAATTTCATCTCCATATTAGGCGCCGGAATACTGATTAGGCAAATTCACCTTTCTTGCGATTTTTATTTGATTTCTTGTACCAGAAAATCGAATACTGCATGCAGTGTATTCAACGAACCTTCCTGCCTTTTGCAGCTGAAGTGTTGCTTGGTTTATGAAGGACCTCACACTAGCGGAAAGAATCTGTCAGATTGGGACAAGGTGAAAAAATGGACTAACAATATGTCTTGATGGTGTCCTTGGTGAAACATTTGTCTTTCCGTTCTATTCCTTGTACTACTAGCGCCCATACTGGCGCCTGTCTTAGCGCTCACCCGCAGGTTGAACATTATGTAGCTTACATAATGGGGTCCGTGCGCACTTCGTGCCTGGTATCGTACCACTACGTTTCTTTCTTCACTAACACGACCACATAGACACGATGGTCCGTGCGCAGTCGGTACTTGTATAAGTAGTTGTACCATTAGTCGGTCGAACCCTAAGTTCGACCTGGTTATTCATTCAAGTCTCTGCTCCTCTTCACTTGGGGTAGTGGTCATTCTCGACTTCCTCGCTCGATCTTCAGGACGACGCACTGTCCATAAGCCCTCGCTCGTCATCTACGAGTCAGGCATCGATATAGGAGTATAGACCGTTGTATCAAAAGGTCGAACTTTCTAAGCTACGTTCCTAGTTTCACCTAGTCGAACAACTCATCCACCATCACGTCGAACAACGCA